TGTGTGTGTGTGTGTGTGTGTGTGTAGGCGCGCGGGGCTAGATCCAACAGGTAGAGAGGGGCCACAAAGAGCTGGAGCAGTCCAACAGTCTTTTGCTGCTCTGTACCTCTTCTGCTGCTGCTGCTACCCTTGTTGTTGTCTTCTTTGATGGTGGTGGTGCTCTTGGTGCTGCTGCTGCCAGTGGTGGAGGTGGTGGTGCTGTTACTGTTGCTGTTGCCAGTGGAGGTGGTGCTGTTAGTGCTGCTGTTGCCAGTGGTGGAGGTGGTGGTGCTGTTACTGTTGCTGTTGCCAGTGGTGGTGGTGGTGCTGTTACTGTTGCTGCTGCCAGTGGAGGTGGTGCTGTTCGTGCTGCTGTTGCCAGTGGTGGAGGTGGTGGTGCTGTTACTGTTGCTGCTGCCAGTGGTGGTGGTGCTGTTCGTGCTGCTGCTGCCAGTGGTGGTGGTGCTGTTACTGTTGCTGCTGCCAGTGGTGGTGGTGCTGTTCGTGCTGCTGTTGCCAGTGGTGGAGGTGGTGTTCGTGCTGCTGTTGCCAGTGGTGGAGGTGGTGGTGCTGTTCGTGCTGCTGTTGCCAGTGGTGGTGGTGCTGTTCGTGTTGCTGATGCCAGTGGTGGTGGTGCTGTTAGTGCTGCTGTTGCCAGTGGTGGTGGTGCTGTTCGTGCTGCTGTTGCCAGTGGTGGAGGTGGTGGTGCTGTTACTGTTGCTGTTGCCAGTGGTGGTGGTGCTGTTCGTGCTGCTGTTGCCAGTGGTGGTGGTCCTGCTACTGTGCTACTGTTTAGTGTTGTCTCTCTGTTTCCAACACCTTCCGCGCGCCACTGTAACCATCTCAATACCGTTGTTCTGTGATTTTGTTGGGCAACTTGATGACCATCTCGACTCTTGCAAAATCTCCAAGTGAAACGCAGGACCATTAAGAGTCTCGCAACTATCTTGAAGATATTTCTGAAAAACATGACATTCGTGAGAGCAGTCGCAAGACCGCTCCAAGGGGGAAGGAACTAAGAGGAGGAAGACAGGACCTGACGGTCCCTGAAATAAACTCACGTCTCGCAATGTCTCTGGAAAGGTTTCTCAGTCGTCGCAGAACCGTCCAGTATTCTCTACAAGAGCCTCCTGTGAGGCCTTTAATGGTCTCATCGTCTCTCATCTCATGAGGGCAGTACCTCCCCCTCTGCCCTCTCATTTATCGGCAAGCTCAGTATGGAATCATCATTGATGGTCTCTTTGTTTACGGTATTCAACTCTGAACACCAGTTTTGACGGCCAGTTTTTCTCTCTGTTGTTCTCTCTCTCTCTCTCTCTCTCTCTCTCTCTCTCTCTCTCTCTCTCTCTCTCTCTCTCTCTCTCTCTCTCTCTCTCTCTCTCTCTCTCTCTCTGTGTCTCTCTCTGTCTCCCTCTCTCTCTCTCTCTCTCTCTCTCCTCTCTCTCTCTCTCTCTCTCTCTCTCTCTCTCTCCTCTCTCTCTCTCTCTCTCTCTCTCTCTGTGTCTCTCTCTGTCTCTCTCTCTCTCTCTCTCTCTCTCTCTCTCTCTCTCTCTCTCTCTCTCTCTCTCTCTCTTCTCTCTCTCTCTCTCTCTCTCTCTATCTCTCTATCTCTCTCTATCTCTCTCTCTCTCTCTCTCTCTCTCTCTCTCTCTCTCTCTCTCTCTCTCTCTCTCTCTCTCTCTCTCTCTCTCTCTCTCTCTCTCTCTCTCTCTCTCTCTCAGTACCTGTCTTTCCACCTATCTACCTGTATCTCCTTATTTTTATTATTGTATCTGGCTCTCCTTCCTTCCCCACTCTCCCTCGGGCAGGTAAAGCCTGAGTGGCATGCTGGGTGTCGAGGTGGACCTTGGGGCCGTGTCATCCTCCGCGGTGCTGGGGAGAGCTACTCCAAAAAAGACGTGTGGCACTTTTAAGACAAACAAGGCCCGCCAAGATAAGCAAGTTACTTCAGGATGCGGTGACTCTGCCACCACTGTGGTTACTCTGCCACCACCGCCACAATTGACTCATAGTGTTGTTCACTCCCCCGTTAAATATGGCCTCGCCCTTTGTAGGCATAATCAACCAATCAGAAAAGAGAATGTTCTAACGACCTCCCAACACTCACACCTTTTGTCCTCTGTCCCCTTGCAGTATTTCCTTTGTCTCCTCCTCCTCCTTCCCTTCCTTCTTGTCTTCTCTTCCTCGTCTTTTTATTCTCTTATTTTTAATTCTTTCCTTCCTCCTCTCCAATTTCTTTCCCCTCTTCCCACAATCTTTCCTTTTCTCTCCCCCCATTCCTTATTGTCAACTTCCCCTATTCATTCTGTTCCTCCATTCCTCCTGTTCTTGCTCCAGTCTCCAGGGCTGCCCTCCCCTGCTGAAGGATCACTAGCCAGCCTCCAGAACTCCTCAACCTACAGAACAAAACAGATTAGTTCTTAAACCAATATACAATTACTTGCTGCCTCGAAATTGAGTAGTGTTAATCCTTTTTCCTCATTTGTTGTTCCTCAACACTTTGAAATGTGAGTTACACAAGGAAAGATAATTTTAAATCTCTCTCTCTCTCTCTCTCTCTCTCTCTCTCTCTCTCTCTCTCTCTCTCTCTCTCTCTCTCTCTCTCTCTCTCTCTCTCTCTCTCTCTCTCATCTTGTGGAACGATTGACAGTGTTATTACACAAGAATAGCAACAACTTTGCCCGGAGCTCCACTCTAGCGTCGACTATTTTAATCGCCCTCCGCCCGTGTTCTGTGATCGAGCCACATTAGAGGCATGACTGTAACAAAACAACATGCAGGGTCATTGTGGCTGATCAAACACAAGAGTCCCAGAGAGGGACGCCGCCTTCGTTGTCACTCACTTCACCATTAAGAATAGCCTCAACTACTCTGCCAAGAGCAAACCTTAAATACCAATTAGCTGCTTATTAACGCAGCTGATTTGTTGATGCACAAATTGAGTGGTCTTTTAATATGTTGTGTGTAGCAGTGTGCAGGAGTACACTTGGATACACGCGTTCGAGTGAGTATAGAATTAGTAACAGGCATTCTACAACTCATTCCAATAAAACGAAGTCTTTTACCACAAGCTTCAAACACTTTGAATCCTTTAGGGTTACCTTGTCAGATAATTATGGGTCGTGTTTGCCCGGTAGACTTGTAAGGTGGGTTGGGATCACCTCTGCCCTCTGACCTATAAATGGCACGGTGAGAAAATAACGGGCGAGCGAACACACTCGCGCGACCACCTTCCCCTGAGCAACGCCAGCGAGCGAACAGCCTCCAGCGAACGGTCCCTCCAGCTCCCCTCCTCCATACAGTAAACATGTGATGGTGGCGTCTCAGGTGTTCTGAGACGCCACCACGTTCTGAGACGGGTCGCCAGCCCCGTCTCAGGTCGGGGCTGGCGACCAGCTTGTTGACCTGTAATATGATCTTTGCCATAACCCATCAACTACAACAACTCAACTCACTCTTGCTCACTGCTACTTTACCTAGTCATATCACCCGAACGTAAAATAACTAATAGGAATAATAATTTTAGTCAGAAAATGAAGCGGATGCTTAATGGGTCTGAAATAATGATAATTAAGCTTTTTATGCGTTTCCATTAAAGGAAGATCCTTAGATGGGAAACCAAATTTCAGCACATTTCCCCACTTAATATTAGCGTGTTCGAAATTGTTGTGTTCACCCTAAATTTTACAAGAAACTCTCATTTTCTTTGATGCTGTTTGAAAGAAAATGATTGTTTGGGGTAACCTAAACTATTACCGTACACTGCTTCTCGGCGTGGTTATAATATTCACAAATAGTTGAATGCTCTGGATTAAAGTATATTTGATGATCGCTCAATAAATTCTTGTGGTGTCCTTAATAATCCTCCCGCGATTGATAGTCATAATACATCATTAAACCCAACACTTTGGCAAGTCTTTAATTAAGGATTAAAGCAAGTGATTGGGGCAGGCACCGATAATTTGCATTGATTAGGAAGGTAACAGAAGTGCAATCAACTGGAAATTAAAAACTAAAGTTGTATATTAATGCTGACATGCGGACAGGTATGTATTAGCTGTTCAAATCAAATTGTGGGATCTTTGACAAGCTGCTGGCTTCCTGATACTGTAGAGATGGTGCCCCCTTCCAGGCAAATTCGGGTAAAACTGTAAGGGGAAAGATTGTGGTAATGGTAAATAATCTCGATTAAGGAGTTATAGTGTGAGATAGTATAGTAATGTAGGCTACATGGTTATGGTCTGGGGTTGGGTTGAAGGCCTAGCAAATGCGGGAAGGTTATTAAGACCACCATAAGATCTTAAGATCATAAGAGCTATATTGTATGTACTAGTTCTATCTATAAATCCAATAGTATGTTTGTAACTCTGCATCTATGTATGTACTTTTCCTGAATAAAATATTATTATTATTACTGATGAACCACCAAGTATAACTTAGCCCAGAACTAAAGTATACTCTCAGTGTATATTCAGTAAGAGGCGGGGATACATCTCTCGGTGTATCCCTAATGTAGACTATTAGTTAAGTGAATTATCAGCTCAAGGTTCTGGAGATGTGATATTAACATAGATAAATAACAATAGAAATAGAAGTCCAATGGTGAGGTAGTGAGGTAAACACTGGCCCCCTGGTCCCTGTGTTCTCTGACTGGCCATCCTCTGGCCTTATGGACGGCCTCGTCCATCACAGAAGCACTTGCCAGTACCTCGAGGGAATGGCGGGTAATTTGTAGGTCACCGCCAGGCAAATATAATAACAATGAAGGCGAAGGAAAGACTCAATTTAAGTTTTAAGTGTGTCAAAAAACATATTTTCGGATGTAACCTAGATCCTTTCTTAAGGTGCTATGTTAATCAATGTTCAATGACCTCATTTTATACAGCACCTTGAGAAAGGGTGTTGGTTACCTCCGAAAATGTGGTTTTTAATACAACTACAAATATATTGGGTCTTTCATTGAAGCACTACGGCATTGTAGTAAGTTACTCCATAATAACATTGTCAATGAAAGTTCAAGATACAAGAGAAGTTTTTATTTCAATATGCAACATCAGGAGCGGAGTGTCACAGAGTGAAGGTGATGGTGATAGTGATGATGAGAGAGATGATGGTGATATAATGATGAAAGTGACAGTGACAACCTGAACATGTCTTTCCTGACCCTTCTCCATACTTGAGGATGACCCTCCATACCAGGAGCGGTGTTAAGCGAGGTCTTGACCACAATGTCCTCTCGTGGACCAATGTTTCTTTCTCCCCGTCACACACCTTCTGGCCCCCCCCCTTTCAGGGATAGAGATCAACGCAGGTATACAGATGTCACTTGAGTTGACAGATGAAGGGGAGTAGGTCGGAGGCGTCCCTATCCTCCAGCCGGCCGTGGTGGTTCAGGACGAGGTGGTTCTCCTTCGTGTGTCCGTTCGGTTGGCCGGTCTCCCAGAAGGGCGCCCCTCGCACCACCTTAGCCTTGTTCAGCCAGAACCAGTGATCCTCCTCGAACAGGTCGGTTCCACCTATCCAGTAGCTAGTCTTCGTATCTGTGATAAAGAAAAGATTGTAATTGGGGGGGATAGATAGTGATGATGATTGGAATGTAAAGGCACGACGGCAACTTGGGTTTGTAGGGAAGATTTAGACATATTGGAATGAGTTTGGGTATGGATATGGATCAATATCCACTCATATTGGGGATCCCGGGTTTGATACTCGAGGGGAGATAGAAACGAATGAGCATTTTCCCTTCACCTGCTACCACTGTTCACCTAGCAATAGGACACATGTTGTGAGAGACGCTCGCTAGGACACATGTGAGAGACGCTGGCTAGGACACATGTGAGATACAGCAGGTGAGGCGCCAGCTGCTCCAGCATCTGGGACTCCCACTGTAAGGCCAGGTACTTAAGATATCTTGGCGCCACCAGCTTCAAGCAACATTCGAGTGTGGATAAAGGAGTAATAAAGACCATTTTCCTAAATGTGTCCCATTAAAACGTGTCGGAATTTTTGTGTACTCTCCACAAGGTATACCATTTGTCCTTGTTTTACGTAATTTTACTTGTTTAACTTTTTGTTTGTTCTTGTTCATATTGTATTAATCCTAGTTTGTGCTGTATTAGTTTTTTTGCTATCGAAATCTTGTTCTGTGGTTCATTTTTTGTGACTGTAAAACTCTTATGTTAACAAATATGCGAACGATTTATTGATTACAATTTTAGGCCTATTGATATAGGCCTACACGAAGTACAGAGGTTTTGAGTCATACTGAGTGAACAGATTTTGAACTTCAGTAGAGCAGAAGGAAGCTTACTTACCGAGGGTCAGGAGGAGACGGGGTGGGGGGGAGGGAGGGGGCAGAAGGAGGCCTATACTCACCGAGGGTGGGGGAGGAGGGGCCAGGAGAAGGCCTATACTCACCGAGGGTGTCGGCGATGTAATTAGCTACAGCTGCGAGTTTGTCGCAGTCATCCAAGACGGCCAGTCTGGCGGTGTATCCGTCTGGTTCCCGCACCGCGCAGTACACGTGCCCGTCCTCCCTGGCACGCCCACACACACGCCCACACACACACGCCCACACACACACACGCCCACACACACACCAGGGGCAGCCGAGGGCGGGGAAAGAGAGAGACAAAAGAGGGTAATTAGTGTACAACAGGCAGCGGAAGGGTTAATGATGTGAACCAACATTATTTTATGAAAATATAGACAATGGTGATATTTTTATGATAATAATATATACAAATATTAATAATATCATATCGCTAATGGTGTTAAAAACAAAAATCCACCCCCGCCCCCGAAAAAAATAAAAAATTAAATGTTTTTAAGTATGGAAATAATGTTATCAGTAGTATAAACATTATTATTATTATCTGTCTTTTAACCATCAATATTATTATTGGGATTATTATCACGAACACTTGTGTTGTGGAGGTGGTTGAGCCACACCTGTACACTCACATCTGTCTCCTGGCGTCAGGGATCCAGTAACAGGTGTCTCCCAGAGGGAAGTAGGGGTCAGGGCAGGGGAGGGTCTCCCGCTGGCCTGAACAAGCAGGCTCCGCGCCCTCGGTCCCGGGTCTGGGGCACGACCCTGCACTATCTGGAAGACACGAGGGCAAGATTGTATTTATCAGAAGAAAGTTCTAGAGAGGGGGGGGAGGAAGATGGTAGTGATGGGTGGAAATAATGACTATAGATAACAGAGACGAATGAGGACGGTGGTAAGGATGACAGACAGACTTAGAGCTGCCAGCGACGATACCATCTCGCATGGAATAATATGTTCACCATTCTCCATTCCAGGAATTTCCTGTATACATATAATAGTTTAATAACCTCGTTGTCTTGTGTACACACCCTACTCGAGCCGCCGTGACTCCTCACTCTCGCCTTGTTTGGAATGATGTCCTAAACTATTATTTATTTATTATTAAACAGTAGTTTAATAAAATAATTCAAATGTGACAATACAGTAAAACATTAAAGGAAAACTTTACATTAACATTAGCTCGCCATAATAATGGTATACCACATTTTATTGAAACTGCCAAGATAAGTGACCAAGCCAAGGACTGAAATGGTATACAACCATTTAGTGTAAACTATATCTCTCGTAGCTGAGCTGGTAGAGTCAGATTGGTACAACGGTAAGAGAAGCGAGGCAAGAGTGAGAACAGCAGTGGACGCACCTTGGTCAGCCAGGGTGACCCCCAGCACCGCCACCACCAGCAGAGGGAACATCGCCACCACACACATCCTCGCCATGGTCTAGTGTTGACTGACTACCCCAGCGTCGCCTCCTGCTTTATCTACACCCCCCCCCCTCCCTCCCTACTCCTCCTCCTTATCTACCCCCTTCCTCCTCTACCTCCTCCTGCCACCTTCAGTGCCCCGGTAATGAGTTGTGGTGCTGCGTCCGGTCAGAGTAGTGTGGTATTGTAATGTGAAACAGTAGAGTTATTTATGATGTGGAATGATTGATTGATGAAGATTAAGCCACCCAAAAGGTGGCACGGGCATGAATAGCCCGTAAGTGGTGGCCCTTTTGAGCCATTACCAGTATCAAGAGCTGATACTGGAGATCTGTGGAGGCGCGACTGCACCCTGCGTGACGGGAGATGTCTCCCGTGGTGGAATGATATACCACGAAGGAATTTGTATGGAGGCGAGTGGAGTGGGGGTGCCGGTAGATGGGATAAGGAGAAGCGTGAGGTGATATGATATGATGTGAGGTGATTCCCGCTGGAGATGGCTAGTCTATCGCGCACCTTCCCCCCCCCCCCCTACTCATCTTGTGAGCGGTAGCGCAAAAAGGATTACAGCGGGCGAACCGTTCCTTTAATCAGACCTCAGCGGGAATTTGTACACTAACAATTACCCCTAATCTACACACCCCGCAGTTATAATGGCTGTTAGTGACAAAAGCGTTGCATTCCAACATGTATTATACATCGGGGGTAAACGTTTTGCTAATACCTGAAATAATTTAAAAAATTTTGAATATTGCAAAGATAATAGAAGAACTGCTGTTTATAATTATTAGTCTACGACACTACACAGCTGATACATTAATCTCACATGTGTCACTTATCCACTAGAAGTCATATGGATACATTTCAAGGATTTATGATATTTTATCATTTGTAATACGATGGTTTGTCATCTTATGCAAACTTGAGCTTAGTTTTGTCTGTAAATGGCTGCTTTTTTCACGCTCTACAAGTGTGGTAAACTCACACACAGAGATCACACTAACGTGATGCATCAAATGAACAAATCCTCGTCACGGCCCTTGTGGATTTGTTCATTATGGTAAACTGTTCCGGTGTTATCTCCTGCTCGCTGATTGGTCTATTTGAGGCAGGTGCAACCGGCCTGCAGAGCCAGATGAGGCAGGTGCAACCGGCCTGCAGAGCCAGATGAGGCAGGTGCAACCGGCCTGCAGAGCCAGATGAGGCAGGTGCAACCGGCCTGCAGAGACAGGTGAGGCAGGTCCTGTTTTCACTCATTGATGACTATCGTTGCTAGCGGCGCCTTATTTATTGTGCATCCTGTGATCATTCTGTGATCGGTAGATCATTGTGCACCCCCATGCTCATCCTGTGATTATTGTGTGAGTTGAACGATTGATGGGCATATTGAAGGAACGATTGGAGTGTGGTGGAGCATGAGGAGCACTGTGCTCATATTGGGTAATACTGTGATGACTGGTGAAGTGTTCCACGAGGAGCACTGTGCCCCGAGGTCTGGCTCTGACCATTGTGAGTGAAACAGGCCGTGTACTTCACTGACTAGTCAATAATATTCAGTGTTGCTGATCTACTATATCAGTGGAGAGAGAGGGGGGGGACCTGCTGCATGGGTGACAGCTTCTCCCCCGTATTTACCTACCATAGTGAAGAAGGTTAACACAGGAAGACTAGATGATACACAGCGCCGACGGCTCACTCCTAGCCTGACTAGCACTGTAGTAGGCATCCATCCATCCTCAAGCTGTCACCTATTTACCCCCGTATTTGTGTAGTTGGATGTCTGTCATTTGTCAATAAACTACACAAGACATATTTAATCATAGGGAATATAATATATTGGATGAATCTTAGTGAAGATGGTTATGTGGTGAAGGGTAAGGGTAGGTGGTGAAGGGTAAGGGTAGGTGGTGAAGGGTAAGGGTAGGTGATGAAGGATAGGGAAGGTGGTGAAGGGTAAGGGTAGGTGGTGAAGGATAGGGAAAGTGGTGAAGGGTAAGGGTAGGTGGTGAAGGATAGGGAAAGTGGTGAAGGGTAAGGGTAGGTGGTGAAGGATAGGGAAGGTAATGAAGGGTAAGGGTAGGGAAAGTGGTGAAGGAGAGGGAAGGTGAGTGTAATGGGAATTGGAAGCATTTGCCGTTTGACACAAACTTAAGCCATGGGGGTCGACCCCGACCCGCCTGATGCCAGGCACCATCCACCTTGCAAAGTTTGGTGAGGTGAGGGTGGGGTGTTTACACAATGTGTTTAATAAGGCCAAGAATACAAAGGATATAGTACAATTATTTTTAATTACATGATCCTCATAATGACAGTTCGGAACTGATACACGGCTGAAAGGTATTGAAGGGTCGTTAAGGATGGTAGTTGATAATGAAGAGTTAGAGCAGGTCTAACTGCGCCAGACTCCGGCGCCACCACTCATGCGCCACACGACGCTCCATTACTCCTTTTTCTATGCTGTATATGCCTGACAGATAGCGTAGTACGACTGGTCCATTCTCCCGTCAGCTAAATAGCCATTCGGGGACAAGACGAGGTGGTTCTCTGCGTTAGAACCGTCGGGCTCTGCGGTGAACCAGAAAGGGGAGCCCTTCGGCACGGGCGTCCCGCTCTTCACCCAGAACCACGAGCCCTCCGAGCCTTCGTCCTTTCCTCCTATCCAGTAATTGCTCGGCCTCTCTGTAAAACAACCGTGGTTAATGATGTAGTAGTTTGTAATGGTCGCGACACTGTCACGATGGTGATCCATCTGCTCGTTCTCACCAGCGTTCACAACGTCAAGACACTGTCCTAACCTGACCAACCAGACGACCCCACGAACAGAAAACAAGACAATATGTCAGTTTCGCGGGGAACCACTGCACCTTCCCGGCTTCCGTTTTCTCTTTTGGTTTGGTGTTGGGCTTCATTAATCTCTATCACTAACCGTAGGGTTATGAGGCTACTATAAGGAAACTTAGTGCATACACACCGAGACACTGGGTATACCTCTCGGTGTAGCTGTAGTCCTTCAAGCCTACTCCAGTAAACAAAAATGAGTCCAAGTGGAGGGACGGAGGTGTGGGCGAGCCAGTGTGGGCCAGGGGGCCGGATTCATGAAGCAGTTACGCAAGTACTTACGAGCCTTACATCTTTCCTCAATCTTTGACGCCTTTGGTTACATTTATTAAACAGTTTACAAGCATGAAAACTTCCCAGTCAACTGTTGTTATTGTTATAAACAGCCTCCTGGTGCTTCGGAGCTCATTAACTGTTTAATTATTGTAAACAAAGTCGCCAAGGATTGACGAAAGATGTATAGGTTCGTAAGTGTTTACGTAACTGCTTCGTGAATCTGGCCCCCTGGCCGTCGACAGAGGCGGGTGGTCGTGGGGGTAGACGACCAGCTTGTTGACCTGTAATATGATCTTTGCCAAGGACGCTCTTTATGTCTTGTTTTAACTTGATTTTATCTTTAATGAGTATTCAGAGTCATATATTATTAAAATACTAAGATGTGATTTAGTTTAATCTATATACAATACTTTGTAGGTGGCCAGATGTTTGGGGCCTTCCAAGATGACACATTAGTGGGTATGTGAGTATCATAGGCCAGTCAGGGTTCGCCCCAGTACAATTTTTTAAGAAATACTGGTATCTATAGGAGGCCCTGCGATTTTCATTGTCTGAAATTGGGGATTTGTTTCCCGTAGAGTACTTTCTCACTCCCGCTGTTTACTCACGCATTTTCTTAGTCTACCTCCTTGCTACTGCCGCTTGCTTGAAAATGACGAACACGAATTTATTCTGATTATCGAGTTCTTACAGTATTAAATTATCTGAGAAGGGATAATTTAAACCAAACACACACCGAAACTAAGACGTTGCTACAACGTTCGAACAAGTTTTAACTCCTAACCAGTTATAACAACCAATATAACAAGTTGTAACAACGTTGTAATACGTCATAAATACGTTAAGCCAAGATGTAACAACTTTATTTCAAGTTGTAACAAGCGGAAAATAGAGACAGTTTCGGTTTGTGTTTCCAGGGCTTCTATTTACAAAGTTACTTACCTGCAACTTAATTATTGGTATGATACTTACCTAGTTTGTAATATATGTAGTTCCACACGCTAGACAGTAGTTCACATGTTTGTATTTCGGCTAGGTCGCCTGTGTAAGGGTCTGGCGGGGCGGCGGCGGTTTGGCAGAGGGTCCTGGCGTCAAGCCTGTATACACGTGGGAGAGTGTTAGACTTGTAGTGACCTCCTCTCTCTCTCCTTGTAACGTGTAGTGACCCCTCTCACTCTCCTTGTAACGTGTAGTGACCCCTCTCTCTCTCCTTGTAACCCTCTCTCTCTCTCTCTCTCTCTCTCTCTCTCTCTCCTCCTCTCTCTCTCTCTCTCTCTCTCTCTCTCTCTCTCTCTCTCTCTCTCTCTCTCTCTCTCTCTCCTTGTAACGTGTAGTGACCCTCTCTCTCCTTGTAACTCTCTCACTCTCTTGCAACGTGTAGTGACCCCTCTCTCTCCTTGTAACGTCTCCACTCTCTCGTATCCCCTCTCACTCTCCTTGTAACGTGTAGTGACCCCTCTCTCACTCTCCTTGTAACGTATAGTGACCCCTCTCTCCTTGTAACGTCCCCTCTCTCACTCTCTCTTGTAACGTGTAGTGACCCCTCTCTCTCTCTCTCTGTTGTAACGTGTAGTGACCCCTCTCTCTCCTTGTGTAACGTGTAGTGACCCTCTCTCTCTCTCTCCTTGTAACGTGTAGTGACCCCTCTCTCTCTCCTTGTAACGTGTAGTGACCCCTCTCTCTCTCTCTTGTAACGTGTAGTGACCCCTCTCTCTCACTCTCCTTGTAACGTGTAGTGACCCCTCTCTCTCTCCTTGTAACGTGACCCCTCTCTCACTCACTCTTGTAACCTCTTCTCTCTCCTGTCCCCTCTCCTCTCCCCTCTCTCACTCTCTCCTTGTCTGTAGTGACTAAACGTCCCTCTCTCTCACTCTCCTTGTAACGTGTAGTGACCCTCTCTCACTCTCCTTGTAACGTGTAGTGACCCTCTCTCTCCTTGTAACGTGTAGTGACCCTCTCTCTCTCTCTCCTTGTAACGTGTAGTGACCCCTCTCTCTCTCTCCTTGTAACGTGTAGTGACCCCTCTCTCACTCTCCTTGTAACGTTTAGTGACCCCTCTCACTCTCCTTGTAACGTGTAGTGACCCCTCTCACTCTCCTTGTAACGTGTAGTGACCCCTCTCACTCTCCTTGTAACGTGTAGTGACCCCTCTCACTCTCCTTGTAACGTGTAGTGACCCCTCTCTCACTCTCCTTGTAACGTGTAGTGACCCCTCTCACTCTCCTTGTAACGTGTAGTGACCCCTCTCACTCTCTCTTGTAACGTGTAGTGACCCCTCTCACTCTCCTTGTAACGTATAGTGACCCCTCTCACTCTCCTTGTAACGTGTAGTGACCCCTCTCTCACTCTCCTTGTAACGTGTAGTGACCCCTCTCACTCTCCTTGTAACGTGTAGTGACCCCTCTCACTCTCCTTGTAACGTGTAGTGACCTCTCTCTCCTTATAACCTTATGTAAACATTGTCACATGATTCCTTCTATCATTATAATGTTACTAAGACATTAACTGTCAGTTTACCAAGTGTAGGTTCCACCTGGGAAATACAAGCACACTTCACCGCCAATCAGGATGTACGGGGCTGGACAATATGCTGTAAAAAAGAGAGAAAATTTGGCATTTGTCAATGAGAAGATTTAATAGTGTTATTATTTAATATTATAATTGTTGTATCTTATTATTATTATTATTATTGGGGTTTTCTTAAACTCTTGAATTAAATAAACTGGTTAAAGTTGACGTTCTTTTGGGCTTTCTTTAACCTTAGTTTCGAGGGTAGGAATAATTTATAAATAATGCATATGTGATACTACGCCGTAAATGGTCGAAAGTCAGATATGAGTTAATTTCACTGTCATATATAAGTGGTTAATTATTACAACTTAACGGTCAGATACTAAGAGTGAAATACAGAGTTTAGTACCTATTTGGGCGGCGGCGAGCGACAGCAGCGCCCCGACAAGGACGGCCACACGCGGTACTACGTCTGTCTTCATGATGTACCGTCCACCCACTGACTGAAGCCTCGCCCGCGTCACTGGCTATCTATATCAGTCTTATCTTTCTGCGCATGCGCGCGTTCTACCCTCCCCCCCCCCTCCATCCCTCCTGCACAGTACACACAACCTACGAACACCTTCGCACCCCCCCCCCCTTTGTGCTGTCCCCGCCTGTTCGACACAAGTGCACCTCTTCCTCAGCACACATTCTCAGCCCTCACAGATCTCGGTACTTTGCTCGACTGTCTTGACTGCAAGACAAGGGGCTCAGAACAATTTAACTTGCCTTAAGGGCCCAGTTTACTGCGTCCCAGTTTACTAAGGACGCAGTTTACCAAGGACGCAGTATAAGGAGAGATGCCAACGCTGTAGGAGACGGGGTCAGGTAGACATGAATATTTTCTACGCCCCAAACATGGCTTCTACTTCAAATCAGACACTGTTTTGCCGTTATTCCCCAGCCACTTGGGCCGGACGGTAGAGGGACGGTTTCGCTTCCTGCAGGTCGGTGTTCAATCCCCGACCGTCCACGTGGTTGGACACCATTCCTTTCCCCCTTCCCAATCCCAAATCCTTATCCTGTCCCCTTCCAAGTGCTACATAGTCGTTGTGGCTTGGAGGGTTCTTATTTTTTTGTTTAGTTTTATAATTGTTTGTTATCTGCCAGTTTTATTGTTATCTTTTTATATTCAGCACCAACATTGTAATTAACAAATTTATTATTTGATAATTACCCTTAAGCACCTTCCATACACTTCCCTTCTTCCCTACCCTTCGCCTCCTAATGCATTCCATTTGTCAACCACTCTGACACTAAAAAAGTTTTTTCTAATATCTCTGTGGCTCATTTGGTCACTCAGTTTCCACCTGTGTCCCCTAGTGCGTGTGCCCCTTGTGTTAAATAGCCTGTCTTTATCTACCCTGTCGATTCCCTTGAGAATCTTGAATGTGGTGATCATGTCCCCCCCCCCCGAACTCTTCTGTCTTCCAGCGAAGTGAGGTTTAATTCCCGTAGTCTCTCCTCGTAGCTCATACCTCTCAGCTCGGGTACTAGTCTGGTGGCAAACCTTTGAACATTTTCCAGTTTAGTCTTATGCTTGACTAGATATGGACTCCGTGCTGGAGCTTGTGTGTGTGTGTGTGTGTGTGTGTGTGTGTGTGTGTGTGTGTGTGTGTGTGTGTGTGTGTGTGTGTGTGTGTGTGTGTGTGTGTGTGTGTGTGTGTGTGTGTGTGTGTGTGTGCGTGCGCGCGCGTGCTAATGTTGAGTTTGCACAATTTGATTAATGTGGCCAAGAAAACAAAGGATATAGTAAATATTATTTCAAATTACATGCTCAAGTCAGCACTGCTACACCGCTGGCTGCCGCTGAAGGGTCGTGAGGAGTGGAATAGCTCATATTGAAAAGTCAGAGCAGGTCTCCGAGGGCGTCTTGGAGGTCGTATCACCACAGCGACGCCATTGTATCAAAACTCTTGGAGTTGCCGTCTCTTGCTCAGCTGCGCCATCGATACCTGCGCCTTCCCACGTCTCCTGTCTCTTCTTATATTATTGCCTGACAGATAACGCCGTACAGCTGGTCGCCCTGCCCGTCGGCGAAGAAGCCATTGGTGGCCACGACAAGGTGGTTCTCCAGGTCGTCTCCGTCGGGTTCTTCGGTGAACCAGAATGGAGCGCCCTTCGGCACGTCGGGCTGCGTAGTCCTCTCCCAGTACCAAGTGCCCTCTGAGCCGCTGTCTGAGCCTCCTATCCAGTAATTTCCCGGCCTCTCTGTAGAAGAATAGTGGTTAATGTTGTGGTAGTTTGTTATGGTGGCGACACTGTCACGATGGTGACGTCTCCAGCCACACACTGGTGTAGTTAACTTTACTCCCGAACTGTTGTCAGGGATTACAAATATAATTGATATAATTCGTATCCGGGAAGGGGGGGCTGGAAGACAGACCCGGGCATCGCCGGGTATCCTATCTAGTACAATATAAAACACTCTTTGTCAATATAAATATACTCAATTCTTAATTACTGCTCTACTACTCAATTATTTCTTTATTACGTATTCAATTATGTTGCTGCTACTACACAACTGGTAATGTACAACTGCTACTACACAACTGCTACTTACCGAGTTTGTATTTAATGTAGTTCCAGAGGCTGGAGAGCACGTTACACGATTCTATTTCCGCAAGATGGCTGCTGTATGGTGAGGCTACAGTGATGGTGTGGCACAGGTCCCTCGCCCCATCCCTGTACACTCACCTGGCATTAGTGGTAGGGAGTGACCTCTCTCTCTCTCTCTCTCTCTCTCTCTCTCTCTCTCTCTCTCTCTCTCTCTCTCTCTCTCTCTCTCTCTCTCTCTCTCTCTCTCTCTCTCTCTCTCTCTCTCTCTCTCTCAAAATGGGACACAGTGATCTTAGTTACAGATGGCAGGTCGCCAGATTTATTTTACAATTAGTTTAGCTATAATTAATAGGCAAGCCTTCCTTAGTTGGTCGAGGCGTAAGGTTACATAACGTAACATTGAGGCGTAACGTTACATAACGTAACATTGAGGCGTAACGTTACATAAATATTTACCTATATTTCTCCCATTATTATAATGTTACTAAGACATTAACTGTAAGTTTACCAAGTGTAGGTTCCACCTGGGATATACAAGCACGCTTCACCGCCAATCAGGATGTACGGGGCTGGACAATATGCTGTAAACAAGAGAGAAAATTTGGCATATGTCAATGAGAAGATTTATTAGAATTATTATTATTTGTATTATTATTATTATTAGTTTGGTAATAATATTTTTATTATAGTTTGGTAATAATAATATTATTATTATTGTTTAGATGTTATTTATATTATTAATATTGGTAATAATATTCTGTTGTTTATTCTTTAACCATAGAAATGTTATAGGACTCGCACGACTGTAATATCTGTGGAATTATTCAGTCGTACGTGTGACTTACTTAATGTTTACACTTTACACTTGTACACTTTTAACAAACTTAAACAAATCAACCCACACACAATGAAAAGGACAGATTTACCATTTCACGAGAACTAATCTAGAAAATTAGATAAATTCAGGAAAACTTGGCTCACAAGGCAAAATTTCAACAGCTAAACTTCAAGAGCTAAATACCGTTGTTAAGTGCTCGAGAACATTTAATAGGGACAAGAATTTTAAGTAACTGAAATTATTGTGTTTAAAGTATTTGGGGAGGCTGGAGTAGAGGGACGCTTCCAGAATGAAATGATGGTACTGACGGACGTGGTATAGAGATTAACACTCTGATTAGGTCTGTTTATGGTGGAGCTGAGACTGGTCGGCCAATCAAAACTAACCGTGAACGAGCTGAGATTGATCAGCTAATCAGAGCTTAGCAGGGACTGGGTGAGACTAACCAGTCAGAGCTAGTCAGGTGAGGATGGAGGCTAGGTGGACAAACTATCCTCATCTTGGAGGCGCAGGCCTGGTCAGAGACCGGGCAGCAGGGACCTTGAACCCCGGAATCAACGCAAGGTATCCTGCCGCAGATCTCTCAACGGAAAGGACGGCACCTAAGCTGGTGATCATAGTAGTAGTAGTAGGCATCCATCAGTCTCAGGAGACTATGGAGTTGCGCTCTGGTTGTCGGTCTGGAGAGGCCTCACCAGGGCGCAAAGCCTGGGTAGGTTGATTCGGGGGAGAAGATTATGGACCGTAAACCATAATAATAGGAGTTGTATGTATGGTGATCATACAACTCCTATTATCCTACAGAGAAGGCACGCTGCTCTAGACACGCAAGACAGTGACCAATGTTAACATGAAAAGCTCCCAGAGGAACTCAGTCACCCCACGTCTTTGATAATGAACTTGGACGATGTCTTGGCTGCAGGGGTCTGGTACTCACAATGGCCGCCACGGCTAGATTTCGAGAGACTCTCGAAATCTAGCGCTACTTATCTGTGGAGTAGCATAGGCTGGTCGGGGTCAACCCCCCATGCACCCTTTTTTAGAACGACTAGTTCCTATTCCGAATCCCAACGACTCCTATGATGTATGAAATGGGGGGTTTGATTGGTCATAAAAATGCCTACATTAGATTTTTCCAGCTGCCGTCGATTCATAATATTGTTGTGGAATGTTACTAAAGAATGTTTTGCCTCCTGGGAGAGACAACTGGAGAGATGAAAGAAGAGAGAAGAGACGGTAGAGATGGTCTGCCATATCTGTCACACATATGCATATAACATCTTCATTTACTTATTTATAACAGTTCATTCGTTTGGATTATCGGAGACTCGAACACGGGTTTCAAAAGTATGAGGCCTAATGTAAACCCTCAGACATCATTCTGCAAAGTTTGCTGAGACTAGCCCTTAGCGTCGAGCCTCCAACCTGGGACGGACAAACACGACCTCTTATAGATATAAGATTAATGGATAAATCACACTGTCGTAAATAGAGTTTTTAACAAGGCAATTGATCAGTGGTCAACGGTGAGGTAACTTCACTGTCAAATATTAATGAATAATTATGAAAACTTTAGAGTCAAATGACATTGGTAGAAGGTAAATAGTCAGATATTAAGGCTCAGAAACAGTTTGTACCTATTTGGGCGGTAGCAAGAGGCAGCAGCGCCCCCACAAGAGCGGCCACAAGAGGAACTACGTCCGTCTTCATACTGCACCTTTCACCCACTGACTGAAGCCTGACACGTGTCACAGGGAAGCTATAATAATGTTTTCTGTCTGCGCACGCACCCTCCCCCCCCCTCCCCCTATGTTGATGGTTCTAAGAATGTGATCTATTCCTGTCCTTAAAAATCGGCACCATATTCGCAGCCCTCCGTGATTCCGGTACTTTGCCCCAGTACAGTTGATTTATTAAATATGCGAGACTTGGGGTCCCGAAGAAGAATTTAACTTTCTTCAAATTCCCAGTTTACCAAGAGCCCAGTGTACTAAGGACGGAGTTTACTAAGTACCCAGTTTACCAAGGACCCAGTTTGCCGAGGGCCTAATTTGCGAAGGGCTCAGTTTACCAAGAAGCTAGTTTATTAAGCCCAGATGACAAGACCTAACCAGATATGCATCAACATTTTCTCTACCCAAACAGCCGGAGGAATACATGTCGCAGCTAAGTATTCCTGTCGCAGCACTGACGTCCACGGCTTCGAAAAAATCGTTTTGAGAGAAATAATCCTGACGTTTTTCATCCTCCCGGGCAAAACTGACCCAATCCTTGCCATTGTATACGGTTTCAAGTGAATTTGAAGAAAGTGTTTGATATGTAGGGCTTCAGCTATGTTTTTTTTAATCTAATACTGTTGTATCTGTCAATTATTGGGGGTATTGCTGGTTAGAATACCACGACAATAAAATATTTAATATACTGTGAGGATGACAACCTCTCAGTGTACAGACACTGTGAGTTTACTTCCAGACAGCGGCAATGATAACGATTAAAAATTCATTTACCATGAAATCCCCCGATATCAGTTTTTGCTCTTGTCAATAAAAGTGTTATCAGCGAGGAATGAGCGCCGGAGGACCCGACCCGAGTGTGGGAGTCCTAATTAGCGACGCTCTTATCACCTGGGGAAGAGGTGCAGGTGCGTTGGCGGCCGCCCACCGCCAACCCTGAGAACGCCCGCAGCTGTGGGCGGCGACGCGGGCGGGCGTAGCCTCCTGCAGGCAACACCACAAGGACCATTGCATGGAACAGTAGGGAGGACTCTGGGAGGCTGGTTGGCAAGCCAGTATCGGCTGGTTGGTTTTTTGCTAAGTGGTTTTCTGGTTCGTTGGTAGGTGGTTTTTTTGTTGTGGGGGGGAAGTAAGTGGATTTTGGGGCGTAAGTGGCTTCAGGGATGCATGGTGTGTTTTTGTTTCTTAGTCAGGTATATTAGTACACGCTTCATATACTTGATGTGTATCACTGTTGATCAGATTAAATAAATTAATGGATATGATATCAACTGATGCACGTCTACATTAACTGATTGATGAGTAGAACAGCTAATGGTTGTCTGCAATTAACTAATTGGTGTCTAGAACAACAAATGGGTGTTTATATGATCTAATTAGTGTTTATATGATCTAATTAGTGTTTATATGATCTAATTGGTGTTTATATTATCTAATTGGTGTTTATATGATCTAATTAGTGTTTATATGATCTAATTGGTGTTTATATGATCTAATTGGTGTTTATATGATCTAATTGGTGTTTATATGATCTAATTAGTGTTTATATGATCTAATTGGTGTTTATATGATCTAATTAGTGTTTATATGATCTAATTAGTGTTTATATGATCTAATTAGTGTTTATATGATCTAATTGGTGTCTAAATCAACTAATCCATATCTATAAAAGTTGGTGTTTCGAGGATGAAGGCCAGATGCTTGAGGCTAGTCTCCCCCAACTTTCACACATGCAACACGGGGGTACCTAGGCTAATAGACCAATCGGGGTCAGTCCTGGTGCCACGCTTTAAGAAATATTGGCAGCTGTAACATCCCCCCCCCCCCGTAATTTTCATAAAGGCTGAAATTAACTCACGGATGGGTTTTCCATACATTTGTTTAGCAGTGTTTTCAATGGTTCGTAATATTGACTTTTCTGAGAGATGGGGGGGGAGGGGGAAGGGAGGGGGGATAGGGAAGGAGAGATGAGAGAGAGGGGAGGGTGGCGAGAGACCCGGGCGCAGCCGGGTACCCCAGCTTTTGGGGTGTATACAATAGGTAATTTGTGTCTAAACCCACTAATTGGTTTTCACATTAATTGGTGTTTGCAGCAGTTAATGGGTCTCGGTAGTTCAGTTGGTTTCATTCTCGACTCACACTCGGGAATTCCGGGCGAGACAGAAATGGTTGGGCACGGTTTCCTTCATCTAATGCTTCTGTTCACCGGGAGTTAGTGAACTGTTGTGGGATGCATCCTGGGTAAGGTCAGTAGTTCCACCTTGCGGGGGGGGGGAGGCTCGATGTAAACTAATGTATACATGTACACAGGCTGCCTGTCCCGTACAAAACTAATTATTAATCATTTTATTTTACCTAATTAATCTCTAGAATTATTAAAGGATGTCTTTACTAATTAATTGGTTTCTTCAACAACTAATCGGTGTACATATTAAATAATTTAGTGTTTTCAATAATTAAATGTTGGTTATATTCAATATTATCCACAACTAATTGGTGTCTACATTAACTAATTGGTGTCTACATTAACTAATTGGTGTCTACATTAACTAATTGGTGTCTACATTGACTAATTGGTGTCTACATTAACTAATTGGTCTACAACACGTAATGGGTGTCGACACGGTCATGATGATGCACGGGCAATGTGCAACAAGTATTTCGACAGAGGACAAAAAAATGTAAAACAATAGTTGATAATTTATTTATGTAATACAGTGGTTAGGTCAACCTCCGTCACCCCTTCTCAACCTAACTTCCAACTGAGAGAGAGAGAGAGAGAGAGAGAGAGAGAGAGAGAGAGAGAGAGAGAGAGAGAGAGAGAGAGAGAGAGAGAGAGAGAGAGAGAGAGAGAGAGAGAGAAATATATGATGGCGAGAGTTTAAAAAAGTGTATAAAACATTACAAACAGAAGTGTGGATGTAGAACAAGACACCGACGAGACTAGGCGACAGCTCAACTTCTGTCTCGGGGCCATCATTCTCGCCAGCGAAGCAGCCCACCTTGAAGAATGATAAGGAAAGTCAGAGATATACAGACAGACCGTCAAAACGTCTACAGCAGCTGACATACTGGCCTCTGCGGCAACCCGCAAGCCTCGTCAGCTAAGAAGCCCGTTTTAGAGAGAGAGAGACAAGCCTCGGCCACCCCACCGTCGGGCTGACCGGGGTACCAGAATGGGACCTCCTTGGGGATAGTGTCGCCAGTTGCATACCAACGGAAAGCGCCATCTGAGAAAGTGTTCCGTCCACCCAGCCAGTAGTCCACATCTGGATCTGCAGAGAAGGAAATGAGAAAACGGATGAGAAACGTGGGCAGGGGATAGGTGTGAGGGTGGTGTCGATAGGCTACACTAATAATATGTTGGAATTTCAAGTGGAAATTCTAATATTAAAGAAATGTGGATTGGGAATATTCGCGTGTCGGTATGTTTCGGATACTTTTTGTTAAAATATTTGTGTAAAATAAGAGGCCTGAATTCAATCTTAACTGAAGCCAACAGTCTGGTGCTCCCTGAAGGTAATAGTCCCGCCCACCTGAAGTCAGCAGTCCCGTTCCCCTAAAGCCATCACCCCCATCCCACTGAAGCCATCAGTCTCATCCCAACTGAAGGCACCAGTCCCGTCCCACTAGAGCCAGCATTCGCTACTGAACTTGAAGCCCAAAAGTCGACGATCAATTAACCTCTCGAAATCTGAACTCATTTTTCTGGGGCGAAGTTTCCGGTTGACGAAAATTTTAGTTTCATCCGCGGAAAGCTATAAAGGACACCTAACAAGTTGTATATCATTGGTTAAGAGGCTGGAAATGTTGAACATAGGGACCTGGTTTGGTCCCTGAGACGTATCTAAACATCTTAAGGTCCAAACATCTTTGGATCCTAGCATCTCGTATTGTGCACACCTTTATTATCCACTATGTAATTCCAGACGGCTCCCAGAGTGCTGCAGTCGTCGAGGTGAGCCAGGCCGGCTGTGGCGCCAGCGGGACTGGTAGACTGGCAGTACGACAACGACTCATCCCTGAGGGAAACAATAACAGTCAATCCATAAAATCCTTCAAGCCACAAAAGCTTAATGTGACCCGCCAAACACACAGCGAAACTACGACGTTGCTACAACGTTCGAACAAGTTTTAACACCTAACCAGTTATAACAACCAATATAGCAAGTTGTAACAACGTTCTAATACGTCATAAATATGTTAAGCCAAGATGTATCAAGTTTATTACAAGTTGTAACAAGCGGAAAATAGGGACAGTTTCGTTTTGTATTTCCAGGGGAGACTTTCTTACTTGTATGATTCGACGCTTAATGCATCAATCGTCATATCGATTGCAAGAAATTCAGGAAACGAATAAGTATAAAAATGGCCGCTCTAAAATCATGATAGGTCACTATGACAATGGTCTGGGCGGTAGAGGGACAGTCTCGTTTCTTGCAGATCGGTGTTCAATCCCCGACCCTCCAAGTGGTTGGGCACCATTCCTAAACCCCCGTCTCATCCTAGATCCTTGTCCTCGTATCCTTTCCAAGTGCTATATAGTCGTAATAGCTTGGCGCTTTCTCCTTATAGCTCCATGCACCTTATTGAACTACCTTATCCTTCCTGGTGATACTTCCTAGTATCACTAGGAAGGGATACGAGGACAGAAAAAGAAGACGAGATTTGTTTAATATTTTGAGAGCCATCGTTATGAATTTTTATCGCAAGCCCCAAGTATGATGTTACTATGTGCCTCGGGTGTTAAGACGCTTACCTGTTTTTCGTCAGGAGTACACACTGTCAACTGTAGAGCAGGGGAGGTGTGTACGTCGAATATGAAGCGTGTGTGTGTGTAAGCGTGCAGGGAGCGTGTGTGTGTGTGTGTGTGTGTGTGTGTGTGTGTATGGAGATACTCACCAGGTCAACATAGAGTTTGGGAAGAGGTAACAACCATTCCCGACGGGTTCGTATCCTCCTGGGCAAGCTGTAAATACAGGTGTGTGTGATTAGGTCATCAACACGTGTGTTTGTTAGGATAATAATCGATAACGGAAACTAAACCTCTAGCCTAATGCATTACTATACACAATTTAAAGTTTAATATTAGTTTATATTTGAGAAAATACAGTTGTAATTATGCAACATGACAAAATGTGCGAACGCTGTATCTTTCACGACCTCTGAATATACATCATCCCCGTACTACAAATACACATAATTGCAAATGGAACCTAAACACCCAACCTACTCTAGACTTAACTATACACAAAATTCGTATATGCTAAAATTAAAATTTAATTTATGATTGAGTCTTTGGGGTAACCCACAACTTGAATCAGCATATCCTGAAAACCAGTTGAGGCTGATAGATTGTATATAATTCCTCCCTCACCACGTGAGGTAAACTTTACTACACATAGAAGAAAAAAAATGGGGTTTAAAAGACAAATATATCTGATATAAAGACCAAATGTATCTGATTTAAAGACTAAAGAGTTTGTTAAAATAATATAGAGGTAACTTACCGACAAGGGCATCCACAGCGAGGACTGTCGCCGCCAACACTATCAAAGTCTTCATCATCATTGTATTGGTAACACTGGCGCGCGCTGGCCGCCCGCCGGCGCCTATATAGCCTCGCATGCTCTGGCGGGAAGGGGTGGAGGGCGGGGCGGATGGCGCCAAAAATGTTGATTTGAGGAAAGCAAATATGGGAACATGGAGAGTGTAATGTGGAGTGCCATAGGACTCTGTCCTGTGACCTTTATTGTTCATCAAACACATAACGTGATTTCGATAATGGTGAATAGAAATTTTATGAATTTTCCGATGGCAAAAACGAAATTGAGACGAAGATGCAGAAACGTTACACGAAGTCCTAAAGAAACTTTCAAAGTGGACTGAAAACTAGAAGATTCGTTTCAGTGTTTACAAGTGGAAGGTTCTCAATTTCACTGAACATTTGCTGAATTACAAAATTTAAATGTGAATATTGCTTAAGAATCATGATTAGTAAGAATCTAAAACCAAGGAGAAAATGCATAGTGTATCTATGCATTTGTTTCTATGTGTAAAATATCGACTTAACTTGTAGATCTGTGGCATAACTAACTAAAATACATTATAAAGGCAATCTCATTGAAAAAGTTTCAACCTTGCAACATGTTTCTTCCAGCTTCCGTCTAACTTAAACAAACCTTAGTAAGACTTAACCTAATCTAACTTGTACAGTGGAGCATTACGTGCTTGAATGAACGAGTTGGAATTTATTGGCAGGAAAAAAATGGAAAAAATGTAACTGGTGGATGCAGTAAATGCCTTTCGGTTGAGTGAGTCTTAATACCTTCTGGTAGGGCGGGTCATGATCAATCCGCGCATGAAAAACAAAGTACAACAATTAAAAATATTCTTCTCAAATGTTCTTCAGGTAGAGGGGATAGTAATGCCTTCGAGGCAGCGGCTACAGATCGTGTTGAAACACAATAATCGTTATCATTTTGCAGCCTCCGAAACCTATTGCTAGATGAGGCTATCACATTTGCTGGGTAAATAGACCGCGGGAACGGCTCGCTGATATCTATAGTACCCATAGGCTTCGTGAACAAGACGGAACAGTTTTGAGAGATGAGGGTGCCGGTTACTGCCTTGTTGTCACGCCTCAGTGCAGAAGTTTTTTTTTTCCAAGATCCACATTTGGCCTGACTTGTGTCCTTGTGTGTGAGTGGCGAAGCAGGTGGTCGTGCTCCCACCATCGGGTTGTACAGCGGCCAGGCCCTGTGAACACACAGCTGCCTCGGCTACCAGGGTCTGTACCAGCTCAACTCTTCGCTCGTTCAAACCCCCATCAATCTCAACCCTTACACCGTACCCCTCCCCAACCTCCCACCATCTTCCGCACCTCACCGGCACCAACCCCTCCACCAATCAAGCAGCAGGTAGGCCTCAACCACCAGGTAGGTCCCAGGCACCAGGAAGGTCCCAGGCACCAGGTCGGAACTGCAAACAGCGTCTCTCTTTCCTTCTGGGAATTAGATAGACGTTTTCCTCCTGGTGGTCCGATAACTGGATTCCAGGTATTAGATATTTCTCGCTCTTCTACGAAAAGAGCTGAGAAAATCCAAGGCTATTGTTGTGCAACATTATTGATAGTAATAACTGCGATAGCTCAGGACATTGATGAATGATTTTAACCTTAAAATATCTGGATTATCGATGAGGTTTTCAGAAGCACTGACAACTATACAGACACAAACAGAGGTCAAGAAACAGAGAACCACCAGGAAGACAGTGTGAAATATAATACAGCAATAGAAACAAATCTGGACTCATACTGACAATCGTAAATAAGAGATCGACAGAGAGATCTCTGACAGGGATAAAGACAGAGATAAGAGACAGAGAGATCGCTGACAGAGATAAGAGACAGAGATCGCTGACAGAGATAAGAGACAGAGAGATCTGTCAGAGACAAAGCCAGAGAGATCTCTGACAGAGATAAGAGACAGATCTCTGACAGAGATAAGAGACAGATCTCTGACAGAGATAAGAGACAGATCTCTGACAGAGATAAGAGACAGAGAGAGATCTGGCAGAGATAAGAGACAGAGAGATCTCTGACACAGATAAGAGACAGATCTCTGACAGAGATAAGAGACAGATCTCTGACAGAGATAAGAGAGAGAGAGAGACCCCTAATAAGAGAGTCGCATCACGGTTAAATAAATTCGTACGTGCCAAGATTGTACCTTTTATCTCGTGAGACCTGGTCCATCTGCTGCCTTAACCCGCGCGTCTGTACTCACCTAATTGTGCTTGCGGGGGTTAAGCTCTGGCTCTTTGGTCCCTCCTCTCCACCGTCAATCAACAGGTGTACAGGTTCCTGAGCCTGTTGGACTCTTATCAATGTGTGTGTGTACTTGCACGTGTATGTATGCGTGCATGTACCTAATTATTAACATTATGTAGTTATTATGCATATTCTACTACCATCAGTAGTATAAATCTCAAATAGTTGTTGAGCATAATCAAGCCAGTTGTGTGTTGCCGCTGTTAGCAGTAACACTGTGAATGTTCTCCTTGTAACACTTCTTCCTATATAAAGCAAATAATTCAAACTGTTCTCTTCATAGCACGTCGAAATTTTGACGTATAGATCCACTAAGGCCAAAAAAGACTGGTGTGCTAAAACTCACAGCTACTGGGGGACTACATCTACTGGGACCAGAGACCACGGTCTGGGAGCCCCATGAACAAGGAGGACTACACCTACTGAGACCAGAGACCACGGTCTGGGAGCCCGTGAACAGGGAGGACTACATCTACTAAGACCAGAGACCACGGTCTGGGAGCCCGTGAACAGGGAGGACTACATCTACTAAGACCAGAGACCAAAGGTCTGGACCGGCGAAACGTTTTCATAATCAAAGTTTGTTCCTAATTTGACATGTCGAGCGCTGCTAAGTTTACACCTAGACTTTACTTGATTAATCCTTAACTTTATAGAGATGAAAGTAAACTTGAAGGTTAACTATAATATAGTTTACTGCTTCCGTGATCCAGGGAGTCGACAGGCGTTAGGGTTTTGTCACTAAATATGTAGAGAAAACTGTTTAAAATTGATGTTTAATAGGGTGGTTAATGGTCAACAATTGCGTATCCTTGTTCTGACTGTCCTTGCTAAGTCGCCAGTTGTGAAATACAATGAAGGTCAAAATTGGATGGTGCTGTGGATGGCGTCGATCAGTCAGGTTAAGCGCGGCTGGGTGTGGCCAGTACGTGAATGGGTGACCGCGTCAGCATAGACCAGGCCTTGACCAGTTGGGGAGGGGGGGGGGGAAGGCTACGATAAGTGTTACTCAGTGTTACTGTCACGGACAAGGTAACCCGTCCAAGTACTACCATATATGTGACCATACATGTGAACATATATGTGACCATATATGTGATCAAACGTAACGGAAGGAAATAAACACTTGCCGCGGGTTCGAATCTCCGCATTGCTCAAGCTGACTTTCTCACAAGTCTCACGTGAGACATAATACATGTATCACGTGATATGTAACCCACATGTGTGGCAGAGACACACACACACATAACATAGACACAAGTGTAATACAGTCGAAGTCTTTGATACATGAAGTATACATGTATTTGTGGGGCGGAATATACATGTGGGCGGCTGTCATTGCTATGAAGCATTCATTTCCCCAAGAGTAGCTCACCAGGAGTAATCTAAATGTTGGATTTAAAATCAAACTGCCCACGTGGTGACAAATTATTATATATTTATGTATATGTTTTACACATTGTGCTACTGACAAGCAGAACTCTCAAAGCAACCGGGAAACTTTAATGAGTCTTAATGTATCAATACAGGTATGCTTTAATATGGAATATATTTCACTGGACATTACCTCAACTTGTTTAAATAATAGTAATTGTAATAATAAAAGCTTCCTGTGTACATAAGACAGCCTGAACTGTATCCCTGGTGTCCGGCTGCTGTTTGGCAGGGCTGTGAGCGTGTGTATTGTGTCTGGCTCTTGCTGGTCTCTTGGCCGGGGACAAAATTCTTATTAACATGTAGAGAAGTGAGTGGCAACAGTACAGGCGCTACTTGGAAGCCAATGAAGCCAATGTATCATAACACATTTCAAATGAGCTCTGATACGCAAGTGTCGTCACAGATGTCAGTGAGAGGGTAAGGCAGACGTCTCAAGATTCGTCCAGAAGACATTGGCTAAGGTGTTCAATGCCTATTTCCCTTCCATCTTTTCCATGAAACGATTCAGCTCCTTCTCCTTGCATAACTTGGTGCCCTCTGCGTTCATGCAGTTCATGTAAGTCCTGAAGGCGAGGACGCCCTTGAGCAGCGAGCTGTCAGACTCGTCGAGAGGCAGATTCTGGAGAGGAACCTGAAGTTGCTTGCAGGTCGACGACGCCTCCAGCAGCTTCCCGCTCAAGTCAGTGTCCGTCATGTTGTTCTTCAGCCACGTGTCCACTACATCGTAATTCATCACATTCTCGGCCGTCAGCTGATGGTCAAGGAAAGATTTTGTGACAAAGCCATCAGAGAATATAAAAATTACGGAGCAGCTCAGAATGTCTTTGAGCCCCGTACTTGGCCCGTTTATATCCACCATCACTCGCCCGTGTATCTATCCAATCTATCCTTGAGACTGTGTTAGACTGTTGACCTGAGTAATTCTAGCTGGTAGCTCATTCAACTCTATACAGCCTTATTCCAGACTGGTACTTTATGTCTCTCCTAAAATGGTATTTCACCAGCTAGCATTTAAATTGTGAATAAGAACCTATATATTATATCGTCTAGAAAGTCTATAGAGGCATAATATAAAATGGATTAAGTTTGATCGATATTGCCGGCTGTTTATATAATATCTTGTGTAAGTCTACTGGGCTTTGACGCCTTCTATCGATAACAATTTATAAAATATTCTTGCTTGCGAGCAACTTACCAAGTTGAGACCTCGGAGGTTGCAAGCGAGGAGGCTGTCGGAGGGAGTTGTGGGCATCTTCAAGAGGTTCTGGAAAATTAGATAATAGAAATCTTTAGTATTGGTAATAATGTAAAGTAATCGCAAATTCACACGGCGTAGATTCGCCAGGAGACTCACTTCTCAACGTTTATATACAACACGAGACGCTATTCTCAGCGCACATACACTGACAATTGTCTAATCCCAAATTGTGATATAGAGGAGAGTACGATTTGCTATTCAACAAGGGATGTGTGGGGAGCTGCACCTTCAGTGTCGGTGGCGGAGCCGACATTCAGCTCTGACTCAAACATTTTGGCGTTGATTGTAACGTTAACTCAACTCCTAACATTTTTTCAGCGTTGACCTAATATTTATACACACACTAGCATCCTTAAATTCCCGACCTGCCGATATGAATGGAATACAAAGGACTCGTGGACCACTTGGTCGTTAGCCAGACTACATCAAAGTTATATGGATGTCGCTGTAAACTGAAATTTATTGATAGTACATGATAAGATATAATCCTTAACTCTGACAGCTGCTTTAACAAATGATCTCATAATCAAATTAGATGTTGTTTGTTAGTTCGATGGATCGTCCCCCCCCCCTAAATTTAATTACAATTTTACTGATGAAAGAATGACAGATAAATTAAAACAAAAAAACACACACACACACACACACACACACACACACACACACACACACACACACACACACACACACACACACACACACACACACACACTCACGTGGGATAAATAACTTACAGGTTCCAGTACCTGGTCCCAGACCCTAACACAACACACTTACCCTTCTCTTCCTCGTCACCTGGTCCCTGGGGAAGCCGTACATGTGTTGCTGTAATAAAAACAACATAGTTATATTCCCTCATGATACAGTAATTGTCTTGAGTCCTCCACATCTAGCTATATTTTATATAATTACTTAATATATGTCTTCATATAATAATCATTATATATATGTCTCATATGAGAAATAAATCTTGATACACCACTCAACCAATCCCGGCTAAGACTGACCCATTCCATCATCCAGCAGGTCGCCCCCATCTCTCGTCCCATCTTCTCGAGCATCACCGCTGTCTCTTCGCCGAAGCAACTTTTTGTCACCTAAACAAAATACATCAGTTACTGTGGGGATGCAATGTTAGCCGTTTTCTGTGTTAACAAAATTTTGAGCCCGTAGTTGTGACAGAAAACGAATGGTATCGCATCCTTTGTGGGGAAGCTGCCGTATTGTCATACTGAGAGTTGTCCTTCTTAGGGAACAAAGTACATACTGTTTAATACTGACGTGTTAAAGTTTACGTATACTCGTATATACTAGTATATTCTAGAAATCCAACATTCTACTTGTAACTCATTTTGTATGTATATACTTTTCCCTAAATGTACATTATTATTAAATTATTATTATTAAATTCTGAGAAACAATGTGTACCAGTTTTAATGTTTAACTGGTACACAATGTTTCTAAAATGTATGTTAAGAAACATTGAAAACTACTTGACCTTGACCCTCAGTATGTCTTAAATTTTAACTATTTAAGTATTAAAGGTATCGTAGATAGGTCATTGTGTGCGTAACATACAGGACGAACTTTTATATGTTGACATGCGATGGTGACATGTTAAACGCGGAGTCAGTTTACCGCAGACTTTCGTCGCCAGGGCGCTGACACACTATTATAGAACATTCGTGTTATTTCTTTTACTTGTAGCTTAATTAAGGTAATTACAATGGTACTCACAACAAAGTCGATGTAGTCGCTCATGACGGGCCAGACGGAGAGTACCTGGGCTGGGAGGCCGCACGCCGTCACCACCACTAGCAGCAGCGTCGTCCCCTTCATCCTCCTCAGAGTATGGAGCACTGTTAGCAAGTGTTAGGGGCAGTGAGTGAGGTGGTCAAGGATGGCAGTCTGTAGAGATCTGATGCTTGAAGTGGCATCTTCCCTAACCTCTCTCTCTCTCTCTCTCTCTCTCTCTCTCTCTCTCTCTCTCTCTCTCTCTCTCTCTCTCTCTCTCTCTCTCTCTCTCTCTCTCTCTCTCTCTCTGAATTTAGTTTCCAGTCATTATACTATACCAAGCATTGTCTGTCTCCTGTTTTGCCTTTACATCCCAAGAAACTGTGCAAGTATGTGTTCACCTTAAGAAGCAGATGATAGAAATGTAGATCGAATGTAGGTTATGGCTCTGGAGTGACTGGAAGCGTGGACCTACTCTGGACTGTGGCTCTGGAGTGACTGAGGAGACATAAATACATCCCCCAGCCTGACCCGGGAGGCCGGGCTGAGGGTTGCCAAGTGGCCGCGCTGGAAACCGTGTCTGGATGTGGTGACTGGTCACGTGTTGACTCATTCATAACTCCATAAGTGTAGCTTTGGTCTCCATGTCGTTCTCATGCACCTCGCATACCGTCGAGTGTAAATGCAATGTTCCTAGCTTTCCTATTTGCAATATCATGAATGACATTTTCCACAGAGGAACATTTTGTTGGGGTGTCATGGTCGTTGCGCTTGTATTTATATATATATATATATATATATATATATATATATATATATATATATATATATATATATATATATATATATATATTCCGGACTTTTGAACAGTATTAAGTATAATTACCAGGTTTGCATGGTTTAGCCTGGACGAGCAGCCCGGTGTGGTGTCGACCAGGTCTGTGTGGGTCAGCCATATGGGCTTATATTCTTAAATATCCTTATTTGAAACTCCTTAGACTAAAATAAGATAACCTAAAATTAAAAGAATCTTAGCCAGGGGCTATGGAGGGAAATAATCTCCAAGCAGGAGATCTTTAAAATATTTCACCACCAGGAGCTACACGCTAATTATTTATAGATGTTTAATTTTTTTTTACATAAATATTAAATTAATCTGAAGCGTGGATGTGTTTGTCACATTCCATGCAGAGATTGCAATAAAATTCACGGCGGACACACTGGGAAATGCCTTATAAAACCGTATTGGACTGTAAATATATATAAATATTAGAATTGGTCAGGAATCTAGTGCATTATCTTTCCATCTACGAGATTTGAAACATGTAGTTTTGTAGGTAAAATGTAAAACAATTAATATTAAATAGATATATTATTAGCAGGGATAAAATGGAATTGAGTTTAATTAAATATAAAGAAAGTAATACGAACATCAGTAGAGGCTTGTATAAAATGGATCTATTTGAGGTTTCAAAGATCGTTTCTAAAATAAGAGTTGGCTTAATTTAGTACTCTTTGTACGTCATTCATTATAGGTGAAAAAAATATTGCCTGCGGGTGTCTAAATGGCCACATTTCGTGTTTGTAAATACGTTTGAATTGTAAATAATCTTATTGTTAAGACAATCAGGAAACGCGCACACAATCACCCCCACACACAAGCACCCACACACACAAGCACCCACACACCTGCGACACACACATGAACACAAGAGTCAGATGTGGGGGAAGGCTCCACTGAAAGTAGACAGGTGTGAGGAAGGCCTCACTGAAAGTAGACAGGTGAGAGGAAGGCCCCACTGAAAGTAGACAGGTGAGAGGAAGGCCCCACTGAAAGTAGATTCAATTTAATTTCATGAAACAAATTTCATGTGTAAGCCTCGAAGTAGGTGGGGTCCCGGGCGGCAGTGAGGCTGGTGTGTGCAGGTACACGAAAACTGTGCTGCTCTGGAAAATACAAAACAAAAATTGCTAATTTACCATGAAACTAAAGAATGCACCATTGACCGGTTACTATTGACCATTCACCATTAACTGTGCACGAAGAAACACAACTGAAGAATGACTCAACCGACCTTGACCTGTCAATAAAGTAACCATGGCTCCTACACTTAGACCAACTTCTTATTCTTCTTTGGGATTCATTTTATGTTACCATTGTCTTTACGAAAGAGGTCCAGGAGATGACGAGAGGCTGTCAGCGTGAAGCACACATGTTACCAGACAGGAGAAATGATGAGGAAACAGGTAGAAGGTGCGGGTGTGGGCGGGAAAGTTGCGGGTGTGGGCGTGGAAGTCGCGGGTGTGGGTGTGGAAGGCCCGGGTGTGGGCGGAGAAGGCGGGAGTGTTACAATGTCCTCGAGGAGGAACCCAGGACGCCAGACCTTCACTGTTTACACTCGTCATCCCTCACGCCGAGCGCTCAAGCGCCGCTGGCCTTGGCCCTCGTTGCTCTCCAATAGTTTCCAGGTTCCTGGAACAACACTCGAAATAAATATATATATATGAAGAATGAGAAAAGTTACGCGCCGCGAAAACATGGATGCGTTCGAATGCGCAGTGTTATTGAAAAATGAAACAAAAGGAGGAGTAATGTTATAATAACAGACAGCATGTAGAGCATATGAACATGCAAGTCAGATGGTCAGAGACAGGACTAAGCAAAATAATGCTCAATATTGAAATATCATTATCTAAGTGACTTAGCAACGATCTGCGTTGTTTCATTATTTTACATAATAATTTCAGTATAAAAAGTCGCTCTGCTGCCAGGCATTATAATTAAAGAGTGCATAGGAACTGTAACAGTTAATATCAACATGCACCGGGGTCCGAGTGAATCCTTTTGTACCTTCTGTGATGGTCTTGTGTCGCCGCTCCCCCGGGGTGAGTATATGGCTCTAGGGCACAATGGCCGTCGCTGTCACAACATCAGATCAGAAGAAGTGCAGTGGCTTGTCTCTGTTTATTCCGCTTTGTCCTTAAAACACATCCATACACACACACACACACACACACACACACACACACACACACACACACAGTTGAGAGGCGGGCCGAAAGAGCAATGCTCAACCCCCACAAGCACAACTAGGTGAATACACACACACACACACACACACACACACACACACACACACACACACACACACACACACACACACACACACACACACACACACACAATGGTACCTGAGAAACGCGTGTAAAGGAAGGCGAACACGTATATTGACTATGTTCAATATCAGCTATTTTTGGGACGAAAAATGACCGCAAGTCCTCGTCTAAAGAAACAGGACTTTGGTCCACAGTGGAAGCCTTACCACAAATATTTACCCATTTCAACCACTTTTTTCCACTCAGTTAATGAGAGCGGGAAGGATCGCATATAGATTTCACGCAGCAGTTAATGACGTTCAAACATAAGAGTACATAAACATGAGGAGAGGCGCGATACAGCTGACGCTCGCGCTGGACACGTCGCGGGGGCGCGGGAACACAACCTCACCGCCTGACAAAAACAAAACACGGCGCAAATATGACAAAAACGTGGGAGATATCGAGGGGGAGAAAATGATGAGAAGCCATGATGATGATGATTCGAATCTGCCAACTACCCACTGTGCAGATTCGAATCCTCATCGTCGTTTCTTCTGATTTTCTCACTGATACGTCACGTTAATGTGATTTCTTTATGCAAGGAGGGGGGAATTGACCAAGTTGACGGAGACAATGATCAACATTAAAAATGGCTGCAAACCTAGAGACCCTCCGGGCGGAAACTAGATAGGTAAATGAGCCGAATAGATGTCAGGAAGGACTTCGTCAGCGTAAAAGTACACTCAAAACGAATAGGTTACTTGAGTACATTGTTGAGGTAAATTCATTAAACAGTTTCAAAAGAAAATACGACACATGTGGGAGTGGAAGTCATGACATTAATTGGCCGGTTAACTAAAGTTTGGTTCTGTATCCACATCTAGGTAAGTGTACAAGTTTGCAAAATCGCACGAGATATTAATGTGACATTGAAAGAAAGCAACGTTTGCATTCCACAGAGGGAAATTCGAGAAAATAAGAGAGTACCTGGAAAGCCTACACTTGGAGACCGAATTCTGTAGAAAATATACAGAGGAAAATCAGCCAAACTGCGATGGAAAAAGATGCTTGTGAAAATATCGAAGGAACTTGAGAGAATTAGGATACAGCGTTAAAGCAAGACAAAGAAGGATGTGCAGAGTGCCTCCTGTATTGTCAGCCAGCACATGATACAGTTCCGGACTTATATACAATGGTATACGTGAATGACATAATGAGTAAGCTGACCCATGCACATCAATGTGTTCATATGATACAAAATTGTTGGAGAGTAAAAACACGAGAATCCTAAAATGCAGTTGGACGACCTGGATAACCTTCAGAGATGATCAGAAAAATGGCTACTAGACTTTTATGACTTCAGAGACGCGTAATCGAGGAGACATGATTGCGACATACAGGATATTCAAGAGTATTTATAAGGCTGATAAAGATGACGTGTTCAGTGTAATAAAGGATAGATCAAGTTGATATGGATGGAAACTTGAAGCGCTAGTAAATCACATTGAAGTTATAAAATAAAATGTTAAACGTAATAGTAGTGAGCAGATGTAATGAGCTGGATTTAGTGATAATGCAATCTAATTTAATAAATAATTTATGAGGTAGAGAAAACAACGGATAACGCGGAACTCTGGAGTTAGCGCCGGACCCTGCAAGCACATTTAGGTTAGTACAGCCCAGGTGAACATGAACAAACTGTCTAGGCGAGGACACATGTGAACAATGTTAACACATATGAACCTAAAGAATATAGAAAAGTGTAACAATGATTTAGGAGAGGCATTGAGGGCAGACTCCATCCTCACCTTGGAATGTATCTGCTGTAGAGCGCGAAGAGGCGACACCCATGAGCTAAATCTCAACCAAAACAATCACTCGGGCGTACCCATACGAACCCAAAGGTTAGTTCAGGTAGCGACCTTGAAAGCCATACTCCAGTTCTCTGAAGCCGGCCACTCAGATCAGCCAAACCTGTGCACGTCGAGCCGTGAGTCCTGGAGGTGTTGTTCTGCCAGGTGCAGGGGGAGAGGCAGGCGAGGGGGAGAGGCAGGCACGGGGGAAAGAAGCAGGCCCGGGGGGAGAGGCAGGCAGGGAGGTTATCGGGGAGGCATGGTTGAAGTTATCGGGGAGGCATGGTTGAAGTTATCGGGGAGGCATGGTTGAGGGTGACAGTGATGGAGGCAAGACAGGATGGAAGGAAGGGAGCGAGGACGAATCAGGGATGGAAGCAGGTAGGGAGAGAGGCAGGAGACTGGCAGGAAAGGAGTGAGGGAGGTAGGGACGAAGAGGGATATATTAATAATACATTAAAAGAGGCATGGAGGGAGAAATTGACTTGTCAGGAGGCAAACATAGAAATGGAAAACTGACAGATTAAAATAAGCTGGAATGTTTAGCATGAATACAAACAACAGGTCATGGACAGATGCTAGCGACACATATAAGTCTTTTATCATAGAGGATATCTTTCTTTATTATGCACCCCATTCCGGCGGTGCAAAGGGTTACAGAGACCGACCTGAACGGGTGAGAAGAAGGTCGTTCTCTGCATAAGTAAACTCGACGCATTTCAGAGGGAAAACTGACACAGTTGGAATAAGCAATGTTCAAGGGTAGAAAAAGCAGAATGAGGAGGACATAGATGGAAATACAGTCTTGGAGACGACAGAAAGAGCTTCTTCAGTAAGAAAGCTGTAACTGACTGGAATGGAATAGATTAAGGCGTGATTGAAACTACCGCAATACACAATTTTAAATGTACATGTGATTAGGAAAAACGAAAGAATCAAAACGATGCCTTATACTGCAGGATGTTCGAGAGGCAGGGCTTGGGAGCTGATTATCGATCCTGCAAGCACATTGATGTGAGTACATCTGAGTGAACACACACACACACACACAGAGTAGTTAATAAATGGAATGCACTAGGAAGTGATGTGGTGGAGGCTGACTCCATACACAGTTTCAAATGTAGGTATGATAGAGCCCAGTAGGCTCAGGAATCTGTACACCAGTTGATTGACAGTTGAGAGGCGGGACCAAAGAGCCAAAGCTCAACCCCCGCAAGCACAATTAGGTGAGTACAATTAGGTGAGTACACACACACACACACACACACACACACACACACACACACACACACACACACACACACACACACACACACACACACACACGGGGTGCAGAAGAACGAAACTCATCCGCCACAGGTGAGTGTATACAAACACAAAATGTTGGCCAGCGAGTGACCTTGTGGGACACCGGTCCCCCCCCCCCCCATCCCCATCCACAAGATAAATATCCTCTCCGGAAGTGTGCTTTAAGAGCACACTGGTCGCTAAGACCTTGATGACGAAATGTGTGGGAGGCGAGCGTGCATCCGTGAGAGGACCACTCTACTCGTAGAGGTCTGTGCAAGCCTGGTCCCAGGCACATAGATCGCCCTGTCAGCATGGCTCCGGACGTACATGGAAGTCCTATAAGCGTTCCACACGCACAGGGCACCCTATATGCATAGTTACTAGCCAATATGGTACACATAAGCGAAGTTCCAAGCACAAATATCACCATGTAACTCTGCTTCCTCTTGGTTCCTTATCCATCAGAGCATCGTACTAGATACTCCTGCCTGTGGTCTCTACACCTTGAGGGACAGCCAGGTGTGGTCTCTGCACCTCGAGGGCCAGCTAGGTCTGGTCTCTACACCTTAAGGGCCAGCCAGGTGTGGTCTCTACACCTTGAGGGCAAGGAGGGGGACCAAACACCAGCGCCAAAGCGTTCGCTCACAAGTGACGTGATCTCCACCACACTGTGTCTCCGGTGAGATAATCTGAGTCATTCTCTCTTGTGTTGAGCAACGCGGCTCGTCGCGGCCCAGGCGTGTACCATTGTTGTTTATGTGTCTATGTCGCTTCCAAATATACTGGTGCCTCTGTGGCACACACACTTCTCCACACTAATGTTTTCTCTCTCTCTCTCTCTCTCTCTCTCTCTCTCTCTCTCTCTCTCTCTCTCTCTCTCTCTCTCTCTCTCTCTCTCTCTCTCTCTCTCTCTCTCTCTCTCTCTCTCTCTCTCTCTCTCTCTCTCTCTCACATACGCCATTGGTTTATATCCCAATGTGTATAGCACCCCTAGGTGTATCCCGTCAGGTGTATGACCCCTATGAATATGGGTATATAGCCCCTATATATCCAAGGTATGAATATATACCCCAAGTATATAGCCCCTAGGAATATATACCCCCAGATGTATATCCTCCAAGGTGTATATCACCATGGATGTATATCCTTATGTGCATATCATTTCACGTATAAATCCCCCTCCCCCCTCCCCTTTCCGTATCGATATGCCTCATGTGTATATTCCTCCAGCTGTATATCCCCCGGGAATATATTGCCTGGAGACCGTTCAGGCTTGTTCGCATATTTTCAAATGTGTATATCCCCTAAAGGTATTTCTCCAGGAGTATATCCGCGTGTGTATATCATCCCCATCCTGTTAACATTTATCCCTAAACCACACCGCCTTCATCAGTTTACATCCACAGGTATGGAGGGAATATTTGCGGGTGTTCATCACGCTCTCAACTCCATAGAAGTATAGATATCGGCGCCAGTGTTGCCCTCTGAGCTTGCCAACACCGGGATAACATTGTTTTCTTTAGTTACTGCTGGAAATATATCCAGAGTTATACGTCTAGGAAAAATATCAGAAGCTTCTAAACTAATGTGTTTCAAATTTTAATACAGAGTTTATATTTACCTGTAAATATATTTGAAAAGTATAAACTGTGACAATAGCATCAAGAACAACAGCATTAAAAATAAAATCACATTAACAGCAACAGTCGGGCACCTCTGGAAGGATGTTGTTGAAAGGTCGTTCCAGTGGGATGGTACCAGGGCTATACGGTTTTGGAGAGGGTGGTTGTGGTGTTAGAGGGGCTCAGTGGGGGATTTTTGGAGGAAGTTCCTGATGGAAGTAAATGGTCTGGGGATCTGAGGAGGAGTTTCCAGCTGGAGATAGGACCTGGGAGATGGGGTGGGGGGGAGTTGTTGGGTGGGCAGGCGTCTGGAAAGAGGGTAGGGAGGCTGGAACCTGGAAAGGGGGGGGACGGTGCAGATCGGCACATAAGGTGCGCCAGTAACCCGTCCGCCACAGTCAACGGTGGAGCCTTGAAGAGATCTCGCCTCGCTCAGTCTCTTCTTTCCACAGGTAATCGCACATTGCGCCTTGTTTCATGAAACATCCACATTGTGGGCCAGCAGGTCGTGTGGTCATACAGATATATTCAACTCCAGCCTATTATGACTGAAAGCAGCGTGCGACTAATTTAAAGACAGCCCAAAGGCAATTTCCTATATATATTTATTTGTTGGCTACTATATTAAACTGTACTTGCTTGTTGGTCACTACATTAATTGACCAGTACAGTATTTACTTATTGGTCACTGTATTAATTGACCAGTATCTACTTGTTGGTCACTAAATTAATCAGTGTTTATTTGCTGGTCACAATATTGACCAACGTTTACTTACTGGTCAATATATTTCGTGGCGGGAATTGCTACCCCTAGCTTGTGGAAAGTCCCCACTATTCTTTGTGAACATTTTGTTTTCATATTTTGACCCATAACATCGTTTAGATTTGTGAATGTACATGTATATATTATTACTGTGTGTGTGTGTGTGTGCACCAGTTGTTCTAGAGCTCCAACGTGTAATTTTGAGCCCGTCCTCAGTGTAAAGTGATTACAACTAGACACGAAACCCAGCTTTACGCCACTTGGATAGTTATCTAGATATTTCTGATGGTCTGAAAGCATATTACAGTTCCAATAATAGTCAGCTTATAAACTGCCAAGTGAACCTTTGTCTTAAACAGAGAATATTCTCAAATTATAACTTTATTGAATTATAAATCGTTGGTCTGAAATAATACATGTTTAAAATAACAAGTCTATGCTTAATTCTTTTTCTTTAAAATGGTCTGAAGATTTTTGTTTTGTGTAAAAGAAATTCTAGGTGATGCTTAAATAGTTTTCATATTTCATAAGTTTGAGAATAATACAATGTTTTAATGTAACTTAACATAACCTATCCAAATGTAACCTAACCTAACCATGAATAGGGAGTAGGTAATAGGATTAATTACATAGTAGTTTTGATGTGATTACCTTGAGGGGGTACATCCTCCCTGAGAACAGGTTGTAATTTATGTAATTTTCTCTTGTGAATAGGGAAGCTGCCATGTTGTTTCTGGTGGTGATAGTGATGGTGGTGGGCAGCGATGTGTTACTCTCCCCTACCCACGCCCTCAACGTCTGGAGAGACACTCATGACTACATAGACTATGCGGTAAGATAGTGCTTTAATATTTATTATTGCTACTTCTATCCCGGTCTTGCGTCAGTAAGTAGAATGGGTTAGACAATGATCGGGTGAAGAGGGTGAAGCTTACTCAACACACAGTTTAAATGTAATTACGATAAGAAAAGCATGGGAACCAAGTTATTACATTAAACTAAAAATGCTCAAAAGGCATTCTTAGTTTAATTCTTGTTAGAATGTTTAACCATGCAAACTCTTCAAGGCAGGAACATCCATTGAGAGAAACAGTCTTGTCTGTCTGTCTGTCTGTCTGTCTCTTCTCTCTCTTCTCTCTCTTCTCTCTCTTCTCTCTCTCTTTCTCTCTCTCTCTCTCTCTCTCTCTCTCTCTCTCTCTCTCTCTCTCTCTCTCTCTCTCTCTCTCTCTCTCTCTCTCTCTCTCTCTCTCTCTCTCTCTCTCTCTCTCTCTCTCTCTCTCTCTCTACATCAACTTTAAGGCTAGATTTAACAAATAATTTGAACATCAGAATAGTTAAAATATAATACAACAGATACAGCAATGCTAGAAGGCAAGGCATAAAGAGCTAGACCTTGCTTATCTGTACTCACTGATAAGTAAGCACTAGATAGGGCATGAATACATGCATGTATCATTTATAACAAAATAAACATTTTTTCAACAGATTATGAAAAGTTGCTTCGGTCCAGATGTGGCCTTTGCTCTGGAGAAGGCAACCTTTGACATAGGAAAGATGTGCGAGGATAATGTGCAGGTATGTGTTGGCCTTTATACATTATTTTTAATATTATACAGTATTACACTTGGATTCGGTCTCTACTCACTATGAGGGGTATCCAAGATGGGACAGGAATGGTTGGGCATGTTTTCTTTCACCTAATGCCACTGTTCATCTAACAGGAAATAGGTATCCTGGCATTAGACAACTGTTGTGAAGTTGCATCTTGGCAAGTGCTCAATATCAAGTACCTCTGCAAAGAATATGTCTTATACGTACACAGTATCTTTAGTATACACTAGTATACACTCTCCTTTAGGTCCATGTCAACAAGGTCTTTCAGTTCGATTGTACCGGTTTAAAAACTAGCAAATAGGACACCAAGGGGACCCCATAGCAATGCAATCTACCTATTTATACATGCAGCCATTGGGACTCTGGAAGGGTGCCTTCCAGTGCCTTCTGTATGCTTTGAGTAGCTCCCTTAATGTGCCTAATGGGATCACAGGCATCAGGAGTGAGAGCGTCTCTTGATGTTGAGTCTGTGTTCACCAATGAGCCCATGAATGAGTCTATTGGAATGATGATGTGCAGATTTGATTTTTGTTACCGCCGCCGGCTAGTTTATTGTGCACCCCATACTCATCCTGTGAGTGGTAGTGCAAAAAGCATTACAGAGGGCACAAAAGGTCTTTATCAGACCTCACCTTAGATTATTACACAAACAATTTCATCTATCCTTCACAACTTATAGTTACATGTGCAGAGTTGATCAGGATCCAGTTTTTACTTCCCCTGATATTCCAGAAGGCACACAGTAGACAGTACTTAATGTTGGTAGCTTTCAACCTAGTGGCTAAGTCATGCTATCTAGTTACCAATATCACCTGCCTGTAATTACTGGTAATTGTTATTACCTGTTTGTTTACATACATTTAATTGTTTATTGAAACTTTTCAGAACACACTTTCCTCCGTCTTCCAGCCAATCGAGACCCCATTGCCGACACGTACAAGGAGGGTATGTATAGCATCCTACTATTGCCCATCTTCACCCCCCCCCCCAAAAAATAGAACACAATTAGGCGAGTACATATACACATGACCAAGAGTATAGGAAGATGGGGTACCACAAGCATAGCAATTCCTGAGACCTGGAACTTCAAGAACAAGAGGTCGTACAGTAGATTTAAACAAACTAAATAAAGATGCCGAAGAAATATAAGAAAATTCACTTTTGCAAACAGAGTGGTAGATGGTTGGAACAAGTTAGGTGAGAAAGTGGTGGAGGCCAAAACCGTTAGTAATTTCAAAGTATTATATGATAATTTCAAAGCATTATATGACAAAGAGTGCTGGGAAGACGGGACACCATGAGCGTAGCTCTCATCCTGTAACTACACTTAGGTAAGTACTTAGGAAATTACACACACACAGCATTAGAGTGGTGAAGAAACCAAGAGATATGGTTATTACACACAAGATACTGCCTACGTTCAGTAATTCAAATTATGTGAGCCCCACCCTCATTCAAGTTAGCTGACTTTTTTGCCAGGAATGTCAGAAAAAAAATGAGAAATTAGTTTATTCAAATTTTTAATTTTGGCAGAAGTCTCTGTAAACAGAATTTATATTCAAGTTGAGAAATCAAGGACTTGAGAGCTCTAATGTATTAAAATTTCTTATTCAGTATAACCTTTTAACCCTATATTCCTATTTGGGTAAAAGGTCAAAATGGGTAAACCAAACAAAAAAGTTAATTAATTCTGATTACAATACTTGGAAATTCAGGTTGCTGGGATCTGAATTACAGAGCTCTTACAGTACTGAGGGGAATAGACAATGAGGATAAGACAGCTTATTTAAATTGAAAAGGAGATAGGGTAAAAGGATATCAGTGGAAGCTGTGTCATTCACTTCTGTCATAGTTTCACTTCAGTCATTGAGAGGAAGTCATTGATTAATGGCAAGGGTTACTGGACAGTAGTAAGGAGGCTAGTAAGAGTTTTTGCATTGCTCTTCACTATGCAGACAACAGCCGGGTTCCAAGAGGTAAAGCTCAATCCTACAGGAATAAATAAGGGAGTACACACACTTTACAATATCATACTCGTTATTCTTCATTCATACTTTAAAAACCAGACACTCACGAGTAGTTCTCTGCTCCTGTAACTGCACACAAGTAATCACCCACACACACACTTTGTTAATCTATCATGACGATAATGAACATTTTAATATTAAACTGAATTTATTGGATACAAATTGTTTATTTTTATCATTTTATGCATTACAGAGCATATTAAAGCTGTCGGATGATGCTTCCCTGGATATAATCATGTGCAATCTTCAGGGCTTGAATTTGGTAAGTGTTTACTTTCTTGCATTTCTCAAGTTTACTTCATACGGTGGTAAATTATAAAAGTAAAAAAAAAAAAAAAGTTCCACAACATAATTAACGATGACATATCCTAACATCTTAAAGTAATATTGTATCTTCTAAGTACCTTGACCATACATTCAAAATTAAAGGTTGTAAGGCATCCTGATGCACAGTAGTTAGCACCGGCACTTTGCAACTAATTTGGCCAGAGTTTGCTTCCCAGGCAGGGTGAGATATTTGGGAACATTTCCTTACACAAGATGTCTCTTCACCTAGTCATAAATAGGTGCCTGGTAATTAGTCGACTTGTTAGTTGCATCCTGGAGAAGGTCATTTGTTGGCTTAATAGGCACCGTGATAATCCAAATGGGCATAATTCTGTTGTTATTTCTCCAGTTACATATTTTTAATGAAGTTCATGCTTCACTTTCACCAAGCCCCTCTCCATCATTTTTACTTTTATTTTAGAACCTCTGTATAACCAAATATTTTACAACCCAACAATACCAACCATCCCAACACACTGCACTGGGGCTCTAAATATTTAAACCTGCCAGGCAGAACCTTCTCACCATTTATACTCTCCAGTATTATCTTACTCCATGTACACACATTAAATGTTGCCAGGTCAACATTCCCGATTCTAAAACTTAGTACTCTGCTTCAACTCGTCTATTATAAAAATCGTCTTCCCTCGTATGAGCTACTCCTGATGTATAAATCACAAATCAGTAAAGGAAGATGTTTAGGTCCATCCTGGACCTTTATCAAGACGTGTAGAGTGGAATAGATAGAAATATAAGGGAAGTGAGCGAGATGAAAGGTGTGATGAATGAAAGAGAAAGATGAAGATAGTAAGATGAAAGGTAGGAATTATATAAAAGGAAAGAGTAAGATGAAAGAAAAGAGAAAAAGGATGAAAGAAAAATAGGATGAAAGGAAAAAAAAAAGTTAAGAATAAAGAGAAAAAGAGAATTGGGTAAGGGGAGGAAAAAAGAATACGAAATAGGGTATAAATAGAAAAAAAGTTGTATAAATAAGAAAAAGTTAGAAAATAGAAGAGAAAACTGCAAGAAGCTAACCTGAAGAAAAAATACAGTAATTAAAGAGAGACAGGAAAGAGAGCCCAGAGAGGGCAAAGCTAAGTAATATCAAGTTTGTCAAGAAGGATAGGTCATTTAAGTATGTACAGTGAAAGGTTAGTCAATCACAACAAAGCCAGGAATAATATTCATGTTAGGCTTATGGTGCATCAGAGCCAAATCGACAAAATGGCGTCTGTGGAGAATAGAGGCAGCAAAGATTATTTTAAAAAGACAAATTTATAAGATGATTTCAGCCCCTAACATGACAGACGAGAGCATTGTTTGTGTCTGCAGGCTTAACACTTCTTTTGTGTTCCTTAAGTCTGTCAGTGTATGGCCAATTTCACCAAGATACTGGAGAGAAAAAGACGAACAGGAAATAAAGTAAACACCCACAGCATTGAAAGCAGAAGCAGTGTGAATCAGATTACTATGAAGCATGTTAATTAATCAAAAGACGAGTTTTACAGAAAGTGAATATACATACCACTGTGCATAGGCTTGCAGTAAACAAGAGAATCCAGGCACAGAGCTGTGAGCATGAACATGTAGGAAAGGAGGACAGAATTATATTCCATTCAACTTTGAAATCAATGGGAGCCAAATTGTTGAAAAAGGAGAGGAAAGGCTATTAAATTGTAGCGTAATGAGAATATAGAGCAAAAATATCAACATAGCGAAGCCAGAGAGCGGGACACATGTCAATAATGGGAAGAAGAATGGTTTCAAAGTGCTCCATATAGAGATTGGTAAGAACCAGAGAGGGTGGGGGGGCAAAGTTTGAGAGAAGTATTTCCCATTGAAAGAGAAGGAGTTAGTCATCACAGAGTCTGATGAGTTTGAGGAAAATGTCAGTAGGACACAGACTATGAGGAAGACTCAGTTCCCTTCTAAGAAAAGAGAGAGATCATCATCATGGGGGAGCATTAGTAAAAAGTGAACCAACATCAAGACTAAGCATCTTACAGGAGGGCTGCAGGAACAATCTTTCGATGAAGTCCTGAGAGAGATGCAGGGGGGTCGCAGGAGAAAAAGTATCAGACTGCTACTCATATATTTTGAGACTGACTTCCAATATGTTATACTGTACCTCTGTCCTCCATTATATATTAGGTGCGAATTTTATCCAATCAGTCTTTGTACAATGGTGTAAACATATATCAAAATTTTGTCTCTCCTTCAAAATATACAAATAATCCTGACAGCACTTCCTTAAACAGGTTAAACCAAATTACAAAATGAACTACAACACAGTGCCTCAATTGATTCAAGACTCTAAACTCGACCAGAAGATGAAAAGTGACTTAACCGAGAAGGCAGCACTCTGCAGACAGCATCAAGAAGAGATCCAGGAGCTTTTCACACAAAACAATAAGACAACTCCAATCGATGGCCTCATTACAGGGAGCGCCTACATAGGGTGTCTAGTTCATGAAGGGCTGGGAGTTTGCAAAAAGCATGAGCAGCAGCACTATGCTTCTGTGTTCAAGTAAATACAACCTTAGGATGAGACACTTGCATTTGCCTTTATTTTTCAAATCAAATAATTATTAGAATTATTATATTATGAGTATCCTGAGAAGCACATAATATTTTAGAGATGCAAACTCCACAAAAAAATATTTGAATTTGGACATTCACCAATAATTGGCAAGCAATCACAGCTTCTAACCTGTTTCACCCAGTTCCAAAGAACACTTGTGGGTGTAACATGATTGTATTACCCATACACACTGAATTATCAATGAATTTATACATTTAACTGATAATTCTGTGTCTGGGGTAACAAAAGTGCATGTGTTCTAGCCACAAATGTTCTCAGGAATTTGGTAAAACTGGTCAGAAGCTGTAAAATCTAGCCAATAACTAGCATAAGTATTTCAATAATTGGCAAAAATACAATTTCAGTATATCAATAATCGGCATAATTCTTGGTAGATTTTCATGTACCAGTTTTTTGGAGTCCCTGACAGCTAGCAGTGATTTTCGAGTCCAAATAGCATTCTTTTTATTACATGTATTAAAGATTATATACAGCACTTAATATTTTTTTGTCTAACATTAGTAAGCTTGCATGAGGATGTAAGAAAATAGGAAAGATGGTTTTTAACCATCAAGACAACAGAACATTGCAAGCAATGTTGTTACTCCAGTAACAATGAAGAGGTTGTCTCACATTTATGATGTAAGGAAATACTAAGCCAAGATGTAGATTTTAATAAAATTTAATATTTTGCTTGCAAGAACATCTAATCACAAATTACCATAAATTGGCTTGACAAGGCCCTTAAGAGTCAAAATATCTCCTAATAAGAGTTTATTCTCAACTTGCTATTTCTCAACATGATCAGCACTTAGTTTAAATGTGTTTTGAAGAGATCACTAACTTTATACAAAATTTGAAAGAAAAACTATAAATCAACACTGCCATAATTCCTAAACTAGTAAGGTAGTAGAGTATTGCAAACAATGAAAATTAAATCATTTGTGCTAGAAACTTTTGTATATATTCTACTGAAACTTTACTTATATAGAAAATGTTTATTATTAATAATTAAAAACAAAAATATAAGAACTTTAATTTTCATCATATTTATTGATACAGTGCATAAAAATCAAGGTCTGCCGTGCAGATCGGGATAAGCTGCACATAAATATCGACAATTTGCTATAAAGCTTCACATTATGCATTCACTAAAATTTAAAAAAAGTTAAGGTAGTTTATACAAGAATATTAGAGACAACAAATTGTGGGTAATTTAAATTCATGTATATTTCACAAATTGGTGCATCAACTAATGTAGATGAATCTCAAAGTATAAATTATTGTATACTAAATCTGCACCAGACTCCCTGACAAATTACTGTGCACTTAATCTATCGACTTGTTTCTATAACAAAAGTGGCAAGATTTCAATACAATCACAATTATTTGAAAGTCTCAGGATTAGTTGTTGATTGAACCATATCACAAACCTAATTATTTTTAAAAGATGAGCACTCAAATGAAGTTATAACCAACAAATGGTCATAACTGAGAGTAAAACTTTGCCCCATAGACACATACAATACTGGGATAAACTATTTCAAGTAAAAATTTTTTTTTTCATGAAACACACATTTTGAAAAGTATTGCAACATATTAATTGAACCAACATAATATATACATCCTTCATCACCATGTGCGGCATGTTACATGATAACAGGAGGGCATCAGGACTATTGTAACGTACTGCTGCCCCGGTTACGACTGTTATATTTGCTATACGAGCTAAGAGTATTTTATATTGCTGTAAGCAAAGTACTGTAGCTAAGATTGTATGGATATTTAGCACACAAACTGATACAGATTCTGTTCTTGTGGTTACTAAAAATGCCTAAAACACCAATCATTAGCAGTAACTACCTACCCCGCTCGTTTTCTTTCACCCTACCATAATAAGTCACGAGTGCCACAGACAGTGGCAGTCGTCCGTGAGACTAGATGCCCTGCTTGGTCCACCTGTAAACTGATCTTTGCCACCTAAACCATTTACTTATTATTTTGCTTTTGATGTATTTCAAGAGTATCAGAGCAAGAGTCTTAATAATAATAATAATAATAATAATAATAATAATAATATGTAATAATAATATAATTATCAGCATTATTTTTATTATTATACTAAGATGTAATTTAATTTGAACAGTTAATACAGTAATGAAGTAATAGTTAAAGTGATTTTATACACCAAATGCTTCTGCTGTCAATGTTCAGGGTTTGATGTACAAACTATATACAATATATTATTTATCAATATATATGTTCCTTTAACACTAGGTATCTTTGTCCTTCATGGGAACTCTCACTAGACATACAGCAAATCTGGCAGGCTGACAAGAAGTCTCTGGAGAGAACACACAATGAAAATACTCAAAGTAAATGTCCTGGCCTAACGATAATTGCTTTATAAACCCATAACATCAAACCAATAACCTTCAATGCACAAGGGTTTCACAAGGTGGTTTATATCTAGAACAGAGTTGTACTTCATAATTTAATTCAATAATTTAAAATTTTAAAATATATTTTTACATAATACCTGTACGAGCACTTGTTTAAATATAATTTCAACGTTTCATACAAGATAATTTAAGATAATTTACACTGTATTTTAAAATATGAAGGGTTATAATTACTGTATATAACTACCTGGATTAGTCACGATAGCACCGCATAGTCCACCAACAAGTAGTATGGCAATTATCAGGAGAAAGTGCTAAGCCAATATGAATATATAGCACTTAGAAAGAGAATATGAGGGTAAGGATTTGGTATAGGACAGAGGAAAGGAATGGTGCTGAACCACTAGGACAGTCAGGGATTGAATGCCAACCCGCTAGACGCGAGACTGCCACTCTACCATCCAGGCCGAGTGGTTGGGTTCAGTAGCATGGAAATAAATAAAATGCATTTACAAATTACGCAATTTCATATGTATAATTTATTATATATAAAAATTATGCATATTTTCATATAAAGTTTTGGTGGCTCACATATGAGTGTTGATAAAACATATTTATTTAATTAACTTTATTAATGATAAAATCTACCTTTTCATCAATAATTTAAATTAAAATTTTATTTAAAAATTTTCATAAAATAGTTTTTCATATTTATTTAAACACTAAAATATTTATTTGTAATTGGTAATGCTGCAACTGTTTGAGAAACCCTTTTAAAAAAGTACAGTATTGTTGATCCTCCATAGCGGGCCTCTCATTATAGTACTGCTGAGCTTCTAGAAGCCTATTGTTATGACATTAGCAAATTATTACAGATACTCTACATATTTATTTGAAAATTCTTACAATATTAAGAGCTTTAATCAATATTACAAAAATAAATTCATTCAAGTTCTAGTTCAAAATGACCTAAAACAGAATTAGTTTAATTATACAATATATATAATTTGCTTTAAATAATTTGAACAATAAATACAGTTACCATCAAACAGCTAAATAATTTAAAATCCATCAACTTCACCTGCTTTTCTAAAATCGGAGTTAGCATAGATTTTCCCATTGCGTTCACGGGAGATGGCACAAACCACAGACCCTCCTATGCCAAACATCTGTGTCTCATGACCAATAGTATGCATACCAGTAACAATTTCCTGTAAAATAAAAAAATTATGTTATAGAGAATACTGTAAGTACTTTCTATGACATTTGCTCCACATAGAATTCTAACTGAAATTAAAATTGTAAGTGATGAGTATAAATGTTAACACGATAGAGTATCTTTGGGCAAGTAAAAGTCGATACACTACAAAAATTGCTGAAAAAAAAGTAAACAAAATACATGGTTTGAGTGTAATGAATATGAAAAACACATTTGTGAGTAATACACTCAGCTGCTTCCAAAGGTAAGATCCTGCTGACCTCTGGTTAGGAACTGCCATTTGTGTACTGGGTGTCCCAGGTGGGTCATGATGGTACTAGGGACACACTTAAGGACACTTCAGTACAGAATGTAGACTGGAAAGAGTTTTACATAAACTCGAAAGCCTTTCCATGCAAAACTTTGCTACACTGAGATTGCTGAGCTGTACCCTCACTGAAGCCTTAAATGCCACCAAGACAGTATTCCAGATAAAAAATCAACAGGAATAAATTCTCAGGAATAGTTGGGAGCAAAGGGAAGCCATGTTTGAGAAGCTGATGGCTTCCTGTTCTTGTTGAAGACACTAAAGATAGCAGCTCTCGGGTAAGCCCACTAGGTTACAACTAACTGCCAACACATGCAGAAACCAATATAAAAGAGACTGTCAGCCTAACCAACCCACTTTCTGCCTGAATTCTAGACTAAGAGAGAACTTCCATCAAGCATAGGAATGACATGGAAGGAAGGATGGTGTCGAGCAACCAAGTATATGCTTATAAAATTGCTTTCCTTATGAACTCTAAGCTAAAGTTCTAAGTAAGGTTCCCTTGGTATCTGGCCTGGACTTGACCATGGCACCGACAAAATGCTAGATTGAATGACTCGACTTCAGAAGGACACATCATCATTTGAGCTGTGGTGTTGTTGCTCTAAATGCTTTTGCTCCTTCAATAACCTTTGTGATCTGTTGGCCATATTACATATTGATAACACTGCATGTAGAAGTGCAGAAAAAAAGGGAAGTTCAGACGAAAATGTCTCTTTCTTACAGCACAGAAATAAATGAGGATTGTTGAAAGATTCATAAACATTTGTATATTTAGTGCCATCGTGTGTAATCCATTATCAATATACCTTTTATTTTTGCATCTATACTCTAGAACATCCATTTGCAAACATTCTGAAAAAAAAAATGTATAGTTATAACCTAAAGAATAACTTGGAAAACATATAGAGAATATAAACATTTTAGGCATCATTGAGAGGGGGTTTTAAGTGGCCCAGGACATTTACAGTCTGGCATGAGGCAAATATTTTAATGTTAACAATTTGGGTAGTGATATCTGGGAGAGGGTTGGTGTAGTGGCCAACTAGTAGTTTTATAACAGAAGAATACGTGGTGTCTAATTGAATTAAAGTATTGTATGAAGGAAGTATTTTGAGTATAGAAGATTGAGCCTTTTAGAAGGTATTTCCAGATTGAAATAAAAATTATCAATTTTTTTCTTTTCTTTACATATGGTATAGTGAGGGAAGTTTAAAAATATCTTTGCTGCACTGGGGATGAAAAGTTGTACTGGCCAGGTGGGATTTAGATCATGTTCTAGGAAGAACTGAACATTGCCCAAGCTACAGTGTAACGACCAAGAAGTTTTATCTCAGAAAATATAATACAATAAAGCACAGAAGTTATCATGACCACTCTAAGCTGAAATACTATCCAATCTAAAGATTTATCCCATGTATAAGCAGATGTTAAATCCCATTATGCAGAATTAGGATGTAAACATAATTCTGCATAATGGTATGTAAATCCCATTATGCAGAATTAGGATGTAAACTATGTATTCACTTAATTATGAATATTAAGATTCAAAACTTACTGATGATGTTCCATTCTCATAGCTGAATATCATTGGAAAAAGTTGGTGGTGAATTCTGCGTGCATCCACAGCTTCCTTGATAGTCTCATTCAACCACAGATTGTGTAAGGAAACCCATGCAACAGCTGAAGGGATCTTGCTTCCTCCAGCTGCACCAAGAACTAAGCGAACATCTCCATTTGAGTCCACTAACACTGATGGGCACATAGACGAGACAGGCCGCTTCCCTGACAAAACATTTTAATCTTAACATTGAGTTTATAATCATTATCATTGTTAGCATCATTTTTAGAGTAAATTAGTTTACACTATTGAATGAGGAAATCAAACAATTTTGCTAAACTTTCACTTTGTTATGTGTGGAAGTATGAAAATGATAAAACAGGATTGAATATCTTGGGCAATTAGGTAATTCTTAATGCTAATGTATGGGCAGCCTTCAAACTGTGCATAGTACAGTACAGGGGTACCTCAGTTTAAGAATTTAATCCATTCCTGGAGATGGTTCGTAACCCGAAAATTTGTAAACCGAAGCGAATTTCCCCATAAGAAATAATGGGAAATGAATTAATCCGTTCCTGACTCCCCAAAAACATCACTTCAAAGTAAATTTTATACCTAATTCACCCAAATCTTCACTACAAAAGTATGTTCAAGTTATTACTTACCCTTGCTGATGACTCCTGTTGGCGTATGGAAGATGGTTTGGAGGGGGGAGGAGAGGTGTTACTGTTTGGAAGGAGAGTCCCCTTCCATTATAACATCAGGCAGTGAAGATTTCTCTGGAGTGCACTCTGTGGCACGTTTTGCCTGCATACCACTAGGTCCTGGTTGTGGCACCCTGCTTGATTTTCTCACTTTTCTCATAAGGAAACGTTCCATTGAATATTGTTTTTCCCTTCTTTGCAACACTTGTCTGTAGTGAGGCATCACATTGTCATTAAAATGATCAATGCAACGGCCTACTGCAGCTTTATCTGGGCGATTCTTTTCAGCAAAACTTTGCAGTCCTTCCCATACTGCACACATTTTCTTAATTAATGAGGAAGGGACATTCTCTACTGCCTCCTCTTCCTCCCCTGAAGATTTGTTGTACTGCCTAGCTAGTTCAACAACACGAGTACCATTTTCATGCTTACGAATGATCTCTTGTTTTTCCTCTATGGTCATTCTCACATGTGATTTCTTGCCTTGAACCTTACCACTGGCTTTCTTGGGACCCATGGTGAGATATATAATAACTTTTATGTTCAAATGGCCAAAAATCCGACAAAAAATATAAATTCTTGTGAAGAATTCAGGCGGGATAGTCACTGGGCACGAGGCACTGGTAAACTGAGGCGCGATCGCCATGCCACCACACACTAGGTCGACGTATCAACAAACTCGTATCCCGATTCAAATTTTCTGAACAAATCAAGCTCGTAACCCGAAAAGTTCGTAAGCAGGGACATTTGTAACCCGAGGTACCACTGTACTAATCAAGCTACTATTACGCAAAGCGTTTCAGGCAAAATTTAGAATAAAGATGAATACATGAAATACATAGCAACAAGTGAGAGTGAGGGTGAAAGCACTAGTAGAGGGTGCAATAGAAAATCTTTGAAGCCTGCACACAATAACACAGTTGGATGAGGCTACATCCAAGTGGTTTGCAAAGCACCATACAGCTGGTGTGACAATTGCAGGGCAGAAATAATAATTCCTGCAAGGAGGTTTGCAATCAGCCTTGCAATATGAAATTTCATGGCAATAAATTTTTCAATAATTTCATGGCAGTAAAAAATTGAGTGCAGATATGAGCGGTGTTGAACCATTTATACATAAATTAAGAACATATATTTTTTTCTAATAATTGATATGCATATCAAATCTATAACAGTGATGAAACTGAGATGTATTGGAGGAGTATGCCTGAAAAAAAAGCTAGCTCTGAGGAGTGAGGGTCGTATATCAGGGTATATGATGAACAAGGACAGGCTGTCAGCAATGGTGTGCACCAATAATGTGGCACACACACACACACACACACACACACACACAATCATGTTTGCAACTGTTGGCAAATCCAAGAAATCAAGAGCCTTGCAACACTGCTCGAACAATCTGGCATTGAAATATTATAACACAAAGAATGCATGGTTTCACAGGACATATTTCTTTCTGGTTTCATGATGTGTTTTGCAAGGAAATTCATGACCATCAAATTAAGAAATACAAAGTGAGGCCAAGTGAAAATGTGCTAAAAAAATTAATACACATATTATCCTGTCTTTGTATGATCTTGTAGCCCAGAAAATAGTAATTTATATAATACTATCACCGAATATTACTACTATTACACACCTGGCTTTATGAAGTTTGATGGTGATGGAGGAATCCCAAAATAATTGGTGATGTTAGGAGCAGAGAAGTCATCCATTTCATCATTGAGTACAATACCAGTCTGAACAGATCGGATCCCAGCACCAAAGCTAAAGTGAGTGATATTTGACAATTAAAGCAATGATAATATTTTTAAGATACACTAGGCTCTGTCATCACTGAAATTATGATGTATACTTAAAGCACAACTTTTTTAACAAAGCTGCTGATCTTGAGAATGTCCAGATAAAACTTACTATCCATATCCACTTTTTCAAACAAAAACTATTTAGAATGCTTAAAATTCCACAAAAATATTCCTTTGGAACACAGGTGAGAAGGAAATATAATAATCTACAAAAAAAATATACAGTACTAGAAAAATCTGTTTAAAATCCTGATATTGAAATATCACCTTACCAGAGCCAGAGGTATGGTAGAATGTACAAAGCTACTTTAATGAAAAGTATTGAACATTATTAGTAAATTTAGATATACAGTACTGCATTGTACTTCTATGCAGTTAATGTATCTAAAGCTTTAATATGGGGAGAAATAAATGCAAACCACTAATCTAGTGTGGAACTCAACCAGCATCCTCTTGAGCAGAAGCGGGTGCTCTCGGCTTCAGCCACTAATACCCTCAAATGTAGATATTTCTTGCATTTAAAGCTATAATTTGGGTACCCTCGAACAAAACTATGGAATATTTAATGAAATTCAGCTTTTATGACTTCACACGACATTAACAGAATTCTTAACACAAACAATAATTACGAGTCCACTAGTCCAAGTCAAAAACCTTCAGAAAAATAAAGTGCAGTAAACTTACCGGTACTTTTTCCATTCTTAGGGAAGAACAAATGTGACTTTGTGTACACGTACTGTATATAGAAGGTGCCCACATGTCATTAGTCACTTTCACTGCATAAAAACATACATATACTGCATTTAAAGTTGAGATGCAAGTAAACAAAATATATAACTTACTATAAGTTGATGGTGCTGGTAACAGATACTGCATCACCATTAGGAGCTAGGAGAGAGAACTGAGCAGTACCGTGATCATCATTAACAGCAGTGACAGCACCATAATGCGCTGGGTCTTGGAATGTTTGATTATCCAATATCTGATTACGAATGCTTTTGGCAAGGGCATCAGAGGTCAAATTATATGTCAGCTGTAAAATAAATTATTTACTAGATAATGCTGTGATATACATATTGCACATACAGTATTTAATATACAGTAATATCATTAAAACACAATTTTACATTTTCACATAGGCTGGTGAGGCCCTCACTCTGGAAGGCTGGAAACATACTGGGTATATTTCCATGAGGGTCCCAGTACTACTGTACAGTCGGGTTCGTTCTCGACTGACAATCGAGAATTCTAGGTTCAAATTCCGGACGGACAGAAATGGTTGGGCGCTTTTCCTATCACCTAATGCTCCCTGTTCACCTAGCAGTAAGTAGGTACTCAGGAGTTAGTCATCTTGTTGTGGGGGGTGCATCTCAGCTGGATCAAGTGAAGCACTTAAACTAATGGAAGCACTTTAAAGTATTTAAGCTGTACTTCTTAGAATGGAGACGAGAGAGATCTTATAATATACACACAAAATATACTGGAAAGTCAGGTTACAAAAATATACAATAAAATTACAACATACCGGAGTGAGAAATATGATAGGATGTGTAAAAAAGATGCAATGGAAAGTCAAGGCACAATTAAGCAGTTAGAGAATAGTGTAAAAAAAAATTCTGCAATAAAATTATTGTTTCTGAAGTTTAATTATATTTTCCCATAGGCTTACATCCTCACATAGAACAGTGTATTATACTACTGTACTGTATATGCAGAATATTTTACAAAACCATATCACCCAAATCTTACTTTAGTCATATCCACATAGTCAGCATCTCCCAGTTCTGTCCTCATAGCATATGCATACTTCATGGCCTCAGTGATGCGCTGATGGGTTGTAATGGCGTTTTCTTCATTCATACTCTCCGGAGTGATGTCGTACTCGTCCAAAATATTAAGGATATAGCTCAAAATAAGGCCTGAGCCAGGTGGTGGCACAGAATACAGAGTGAGGTTACCATGATGAATGCTGACATTTGTTGCATCTTTCCATTGTGCACTATAAAACAAAAATTTGTATTAGTAGTACATAGCAGCAACCCAATTTAAAACTTCTGCCAGTCTATCGTTTCATACTATCCCAGCTGGTGCATTTTTTTTTTAATATTTTTTAATACAGTACCTCAATATTTTTTAGTGCCCTCTTTTTTAGTGCCCTCCATCAGTCCTCTACTACCTCTTGAATATATGTTGCCCGTTTTATAATATTATATATATATATATATATATATATATATATATATATATATATATATATATATATATATATATATATATATATAGGGAATCGATATATATATATATATATATATATATATATATATATATATATATATATATATATATATATATTGGCTTGTACAAACGAGAAATATACACAGTGCACCCTTGAAAATCTGGTTCATATCATTCTTGAACTGATCCAACTTTCTGAATAATCTGGATTTCCAAACAATTTCTCTGCTTTTTTTCAGTAATGTAGTAATAGTATGTAATCACATACTACGTTTCTTAAAATGTTTAAAGCATATGAGGACAAGTTTAACTTCCATGCATTAAAGTGTAGTCAATCTCTCCAGCAAACCTTCCTTAAATTAACTTACATGCTAAATTTGACCTAAGCTATGAGAGTATATGCCTATTACAGCTTCCAGTAATGAAATTATTAAATGTTACTATTACTAACTTGTAGTCCCGCAGATCTTGAGTAGTGATAATGCCATCAAAGCTCTGGATGTCCTGGATTAGTTGGTCAGCCAATTGGCCGGTATAAAGGGCATCAGGATCATCCTGAATTACTCTTAGCGTCTTCGCTAGCTGTGGTCTTTTCAGGATGTCCCCCTCCTCGTACACATTACCAGTATCAGGATTGATAAATACACTGGAGACAGAAACAAAGGCAAATAACATTATCAAATAAGCATAATGGAAATACAGTACTGTATATAAGAATGTAATTTTATATTTTATAAAATTATGCACTTAACTCCAATACATGAATTGCAAAGGTAATAAATTAATATACATGTAATGCACAGCACAAAACTTTAGAGATTGGTGCGTAGTCAATCCCCTCCCTGGTCAGGATTCCGAACCCAGGATCAAACTGCTCACTCTTGAAGCACACTAATGCATTATAGAGGTGGATAAATTGGGCTGGGAATTCATTTCCACTAAAATTCTCTCCACTAAATGCAATGCCTTGGATCTGAGAACTGCAATTGCCCAGGTCCCATACAGCAAAAGCAAGTTTGTATATAATAATAATAATAATAATAATAATAATAATAATAATAATAATAATAATAATAGCATTGTAGTATGGGTGTCTAGAATGTTAAGAGGTATAAATGAGGAACAGAAGCTAGAGGAGGTGAACTTTTTAAAGGAAGGAAAGTTTGATATTCTAAATTTATGTAAGACAATGATGATACTACAAAGAAATCACAGCAGCATGATAAATCAATGAGAAAATCATTTGGAACTATGCATGGATTTGAACCAATATTCTAGTGAATACCAGGGTTGAATAGCTTTTGTCCTATCATGGCCGAGTGGGATAATGCAAGTGTCTGATATTCACTAGAATGCTGGTCCAAATTCCCGCATTTCTCCGACTGATTTTTCTCAGTTATAATAATATTAGTATTATTATTGTCAATACTGAGCACAATAAAATCACAAGAACATGATGCATCTACTACAGATTGTAATAGACACAAAATATGAACTTAATAACCGAGATACAACTCTGAACCAATAAGTATAAAACAGCTGATGCTGATCACTTACTTTCATCCATATAAAGATTGCCAATACAGACCAAATTAGTAAAGATATACAAATACACTGCAAAATATATAAATTTACTAAAATCCCATGAAGGGTTTCAACCACACACCTCATGCTTGGCTCGTTCTTTATGCTATCCTCAGTACTCTTCAATGCCCTTGCCATGTGCCAATTGACTTTATGACCATCTTCGCACAGCTTTATTGTAGGCTCTATTAGGTCAGCCCAGGGAATTTTTCCCCCAAATTTGTCATATAACTTCTTGTAGCCACGCAGCTCGCCAGGCACAGCTACTGCTAAGCCACCTGTAGAACAGAAATGTATAACATTATCTATGCATACAATGCATAAATAGATGTAAAGTAAACAGGATACTAGGATATATTTCTACAAGTACAGTATTAGCAATAAACATTTAATATTATCCTACAGCTTCATCTTTTTAGATCTCATTTAGATTGTGCAGTTCAGTTTTGGATTCGGTGCTATAAAATGGACAAATTCACCCGAGTGTGTACTGAGAAGAATAACAAAAGCTAATTCCAAGAATTTGAACTCTTCCTTATGAAGAAATTACAAAAGGTTAATTTACATATACAGTACTACAAACATGAAGTCTAAGGGGTGATATGATTGAAGTATACAAATGGACACAAGGGTATAACACAGAGGATACAAATAAGGTTATAAATACAGTATATGTAATATAGTATTACGGTGAAGTGGTAGCATGCGAGTCTGAAACTTCGTATACCACAATCCAAAATGATAATACACATTTTTGTTATCTTATTTAAGTTATACTGCATTTGAAAAAATTTACACATATTTAGAGGGTTAGTAAAAAAATACAACAAAACATTTTCTGAATATAAAAAAAAGATTCTAAGAATTTAAAATCTACCCAGAAACATTTCTTGCAAAATACTACGAACTAAGTATTTCATAGATAATAGATGAATAAGGGCATACACGGCTGGGGACAGGAAGCCTGTGCCTGGCATCATACACAAGTTGGCATCGTACACAAGATGGCACCATACACATGCGAAAAATGCATTATGCGAAAAAAGCTAGTGGAACATCTGGAGCAAAAGAACTTTGTAACACAACATCAACATGGGTTCAGAGATGGCAAATCATGCCTAACAGGATTAATTGAGTTGTATGACCAGGCAACAAAAATCAGGCAAGAGAGAGAGGGCTGGGCAGACTGCATATTTCTGGACTGCCAGAAAGCTTTTGACACAGTACCACATAAGAGACTAGTGCACAAACTGGAGATGCAGGCAGGAGTGAAAGGGAAGGTACTCCACTGGATAAGAGAGTACCTAAGCAACAGGACACAGTGAGTCACCGTGAGAGGTGAGGTCTCGGAGTGGCGGGGAGTCACCAGTGGAGTCCCACAGGGATCAATCCTTGGACCTATACTGTTTCTGATATACATAAATGATCTTCCAGAAGGAATTGACTCGTTCCTCTCGATGTTTGCTGATGACACGAAAATTATGAGGATCAGGACAGAGGAGGATAGTATGAGGCTACAAGATGACCTAGACAAACTGAAGGAATGGTCCGACAAATGGCTTATAAAGTTCAACCCAAGTAAATGTAAGGTAATGAAACTAGGAGGCCAGTCACTGGATACCGAATGGGAGATGAAGTCCTTCACGAAACGGACAGAGAGAAAGATCTGGGAGTTGATATCACGCCAAACCTGTCTCCTGAAGCCCACATCAAAAGAATAACATCAGCGGCCTATGTGAGGCTGGCTAACATCAGAACTGCTTTCAGAAACCTGTGTAAGGAATCCTTCAGAACCTTGTATACAACATATGTAAGGCCAATCCTGGAGTATGCAGCCCCAGCATGGAGTCCGTACCTAGTCAAGCACAAGACTAAGCTGGAAAAAGTTCAGAGGTATGCCACTAGGTTAGTCCCAGAACTAAGAGGCACGAGTTGAGGCCAGACTACGTGAACTACACCTCACGTCGCTGGAAGACAGAAGAACTAGGGGAGACAAGATCACCACATACAAAATTCTCAGGGAATTGACAGGGTGGACAAGGATGGATTATTTAACATGGGTGGCACACGTACAAGGGGACACAGGTGGAAGCTGAGTACCCAAATGATCCACAGAGACATTAGAAAGAACTTTTTCAGTGTCAGAGTAGTTAGTAAATGAAATGCACTAGGAAGTGATGTGGTGGAGGCTGACTCCATACACAGTTTCAAATGTAGATATGACAAGAGCCCAGTAGACTCAGGAATCTGTACATCAGTTGTTTGACGGTTGAGAGGCGGGACCAAAGAGCCAGAGCTCAACCCCCGCAAACACAACTAGGTGAGTACAAGTTTGCAACAATTTTTCATATATTTTTTCTCAGGGTGGAAGTATGTTCCAAAAACTTGTCAACTAGAGCATCAGTTAAGCCAATAAAGCATAAATAAGCGAACTTTTTTTTTTAATTATATTAATTAAATTTTTCAAAGGACTTTATGATTCAGATGAAATGTCACCATAAGAAAAGACAAAGATATATTAGAGTGAACCAAAGTTATTGCCCAAACTGTTATGACTATCACAATCATACAGCATAATATCAAATGGACAGCATCACCTGAAGACAATTAAACTACATTACTTTTAAATAGATAAACAGCATCTGATGCATACACTAAACATGCTCGGTCCTCTCTATTAAGGCTATGCAAGACTAATAACTTAATGCAAATACTGTATTGTAATTACATTGTAAGCTACAAAGGCATGCATTAAGACTATCATCAAAGATAGGAAAAATTTGAATTATTTAAAAGACATGCCATTTACCATCATCACCCCAAACTTCAATATTAAGGTCATGCATTAACTACATCAAGTCTTTGCTTTCATCCATGCTTCCTGCACTTGCAGTTATTAATAAAGCCCGCTGTCAAAAGCTGTGCATCAGAAGTAACATGATAAAACTCACCTTTCAAACTTGGTCTCTTATTTGCCCACCATTTGCCTTTGGCTGATTGTAAAGGGAGTTAAAATTGGTCAGTGATTCTGAGGTTGCAATATTCACAATTTACATGTGTAATAATATATACATTATAGGGAGCACTTAAAATAAAAAGATTCCTTGTGCATTTGTAATACGTCTCGCCTCACTGAACTTGCCATGAAAAAATTATGAAAAGGAATTTTAACAATAATCACTAACAAATCACTTCCTTCTCAGTTATCTGGGATATAACAAATGTATAAAATCTCATTAAGAACAATTATGAAATAATTATATATATAAGGACAGTATACAATACAGAAAAACCAGCATACAAATAAGCTCCATTCCAAGCATACCACTTAGTCTCTCCCATGCTGGAGGGATGAAGTGAGTGGCATGCTCATAAAGGAGTTTTACATCTATATTCTACTACCTTAAACCTCTTGGTCACTTCCTTAGACAAAATCTAGCTGCTCCATGACTTTTGTGCCAGGTTTCTGGTGTAAAATTTCTTAGTTTTACCACTGTCTGGCTGTTGGGTTGAGGGAGGGATTAAAGATCCCAGTTCTTCGAGGATAGTGGTCACAGGTTATACCTGCTTGCCTATATATGCCTAAGGATTCATCTGGTGCCTTCTGCAGACTAAGTTTCCTGTACCTGACGATGCCCTTCCATGGGAATATGGCAACCTAATACGCTGATGTGACAATTAAGACTATGATGAAGTGATATCAGAGGAAGTTTTATAAAAGCAGCGGTCAGTCTGCTTAATATGCAATTGAAAAATTAGCGATATGACTGTAAGACACACAGATAAGCTACCACAAATAAAAATGACAAGTCACAGGGCGGTATCCAGCAAACAAGTCAAATGTGGTACAGTATAGCTGAACTGGAAAAAATAAACAAGCAAATATTAAGCTATCAAGTGAGTACAAGTGAAATCTAAATGAAAGTAACTTGGCTACTACTGGAATATGGCAAGCCATAATCACACACTTCTGTTAATTGAATAATAAACTTCAGCAATACATTTCATTAACATGTTTGAGAATATACTTGCTCTCAAACAACCACTCCTAGTAATATTTATTTTCAAATGATAAACCCATATTGGTACCAGCAGCATGTTTTCCCTTGACAAAACTGTAAACTTGTAAAATAATTTTAAAGTTTAAGAAAGTTTATCCTTACCGTTCAGCATTGGGTCTTCATTACCGTTATACATATTTTCAGATGATTCAGCTGCAGCACTTTCTCTAGCAATAAGGGTATATGCTTTGCCTGTGGCACGTTCATAGTAGGTCAAGAGAAAGCCACCTCCCAGACCCATAGACTGAGTATTGATCACTCCCACACAGAACAGTCCTGCTATTGTTGCGTCCGCTGCACTGCCATTCTTTCGAAGTACTTCCCTGTTGTGAATTTAATGTAATATTATACTATACAGTGTTCTGGAGCAATTTACTTGCGAGGTTCTAATTAACATTACCTGGTATAATCATATTTAATTAAGAAATCAATGACCCTAATATGGAAAATGGAAGGATTCAGGTTGATAGATTCATGAAAAACTGATTACTGTATTTGATTGAAGAGAAACACCAAAATGAGACCATTTGTACATGACATGTTGACCAAGAGGGCTTTGTTAAATTGAATAGATGCTGGAACTTATACCATAGAGATAAAGCATGGAAGAGGTGAGGTCAGTGAAGTGAAGATGGGCAAGATCAGTGGGGTGAAGGCAAGAAACATGAGGGCTTACATGTTAATTTCTAGAAAGGCCTCCTCAGTAGCTTCACAAGCTATAAGCTCTGGGACTACTAAATCTTAGGGAATCACGCCAGACCTACAAGATCCATCTGAGAACAAATCCAACTGTACTACCAAGAAACTTACGTAGCAATCTGTGCACATGGTTGACCATCAGCGCTGACAGCTGCAGTGTCATACTCTCCAAGTTCTGTCGGTGACGGAGGAAGCACCGTTTCATAATTGTAAATTTCATTTACTGAACCGGACCTACTGTTGCCCTCAAACGAATCAGATCTAGAAGGCGATGCCTGAAATTTTATTACATAAAGTTATTTTAAAATAGAAAAAATAAATTAGTTGCTGTATGAAATGCTGTGTTTTCTATATAAACTGTTACATTAAAAGAAATTGACCAATAAAATCTTGGATACAAACCATTCTGTGCTACCCAGGTGCATTAGGAATTGACAGACAGTGTGTCACAATTACAAATTTAAGTTTAATTACTTAAAATGTTATTTATTTTATTTGTTACATGTACGGGTATACTGTTTTATCACAATGATCCTGTAAAATTATATTAATGGGAACTGTGTAAAGTTCTATGATATAAATATACTTCCACTACTATACTATCTAATTCAGGTTGTTATCTGGGGATGGGCATACCCTGTCAGGGCCATAAAGTTTATGACTTATAGAAGTTAATCAAACCAAGAAAAATCCAGTGTCCATATGCTAACCCATCCAATTACTAGCATGACACCATAGTGCTTAACCTGGCAGTGTAATGCAAACATACCCATTGCCAAACTTGATTATTTGAAAACCAGTTTAACAAATATCACATTCAATATAAATATAATAATACTGTAGTACAAATAGTAAAATATTTATAAATATAAAATAAAAATAGTAATAGTACAATATAATACAGCATATAAATATTATGATAAAGTATATCAGGATGTTCATTTAATTTAGCTTAATTAACTTCAGTGACACATACCTGTACTTTACTGTTACTTGAGTTGGCTTGTGGAATACCTGAAATGTATTAGATGGATTTCAGTATTGTACCTTATAAATATGTACAGTATATATATCTAATATTTATTCTAATCATCACAAATTTCAACAAAACAATGTTAATGTTAAAAACAACAGGGTTCCCAAACTTACAATGATCCTACTTACGAGGATTCATATTTACAATGGCTTCCAACTCTTCCTCAATCAACTGTTCTGTGTTCCAACTTAAGTGTAGTGTGGAATCCTACATTAATTATACATTTCTTTTAAATATACAGACCCTTAACCATGGTTGATAAGCAGTAATATGTTAGTGTGGTGCATCAGAGCCAAGATAAGATCAATAACATTGGAAATGAAAGTGAACATAACATGAAAATGCTGCATGCTGATCTGTGTATCAAGCGATGTTGTGTGATAACCAGTAATGTACCGACTGATAATGCAAAAACAATCCTATGTTCTGCTCAAGTCTTCATACTGAAAATTCAGTGCTGTTTACTGAAAATATTGTGAACCGTTTTATATCAGTGTTAGTGGTGCTCAAACCAGTCAACACCCCAATGAAACTCTCGCATGTTTACAGACCCTACCAGTACAGTGCAAGATTGGTGACATAGATAAGGAAATCAAATGGCAAATTACTGAGATATGCACATCAAAATGTCTGCATTAATACTTCGGCATGCACGGCGGGGCACCCAAATCACACCGAAAGGTATGTCGGGCATTCCCGGTGAGCACACAACCCAATGTTAAGCTCTTTCACTCATAATGTTTATACTTAATATTAAAACTGACAAAATTAATGCCCAATGCCATTTGCACCAGGCATTACCCACTCTGCGTGTTCTGGTTTTATGACACAAACTGCGGCATCAGGATGCCAAAGTGTTATTAACATGCAGATGAAACACTGAAGATGATGCTGGTACCATGAAGTGTAGTGCCATCAATGGTGCTACAATTACAAGCAATGATAGGGTTTGATTCTGACGTGCAGTAGGTCAGGGTGGGACACAAGAGGCCTGGTACTTTTCTCTCTAAAGCATGGCTTAACCAGCACTTAGCACAGGGAAACTCCTAGACATAAACGTACACTCTAAGGAGCTACACTGCAATTAACTTTGAACAGAAACATGTCAGAAGACATAAGAACAAAAATTCACAAGTACTGTATCCCTATTGGAGATACCTAATGAAGTGGCTTAAAAATATACAAGGACATATAGTATCCTAGCAACAGTGATCGTAGCTATAATGCTTGACCCTTTAACAAAAATAATTAGATTAAGACTTACCAACGCCAAGGCCAATTGCGATGGCTGCGGTGCAGGCAACTCCCAGGCAGCCACATAGTATCAGCTGTTTTTTGGTCAATTGTAGCCTGTTAGAAATGAGCAATGATGAGAAAACATTCGCATTCTTTGATGGAGTTTTCATTTTTTATTTTTCTCTTTAATTTTATAACCCAATTACCTAATTGTAATTACAGTAATGCTATTTTTTATGAAAATAATGATTTATCCCTCTTTTTAACTACAGTACTGTAATTATTAGCATTTTTTATCCACAGTACGGTACTTTTAAACCAAAAATTTCCCTGATATGTACTCTATAATACTATCTTGTTGGAGAATTATTAAAATACTGTACAGTTAGGATATGTACAGAATACTGCTTTTCATAGCATTATTACAAAAAAAAACTGCAACACAAGTGTGGAGCGTCAACCTGCCTTGACTGCTCTAGATCCTGAACAGGGACAAATAGGATCTTACCTTGGGGTGCAAACAACTCCCATGCTCAGAAATGTGCTTTCAACGGTTTCAAACCCTGATTTTTGTTCAGTTATACAGTACTGTATAACTTTTTCCAAAAGTATGAATATAAAAAAAAAGTAATTCCCCTCATCTAAATACATACAGCCCATGTAGACAAAATAATTCCATAGGCTATTGACATTAAAATGATAGGAAAATCAAGCAGAATATACATACCTGTATTGCATAAGGAATGTTACACTAATATTGAGGAATTCATATGAATGACGTCCACTTTACAAGCATGGCAGATACTTACCCGTGGTGAATCATTTTTGCTCCACATCGCAGAGGAAGGAAATCTCCCGTACGCAAAGGAAGCATATTACTGTAACCGTATTCAGATACTGTACAGTATATTTAATTTTTCACTATCACAATCCATTAACAAAGTAAATCATGTTTTTTTTATGTTTTCTTCACAAAATCACCATTTTCATTATAAGCAAGTTTCTAGTTGCCACCATTGAAAAGTCCTCCATTACCCTGCCAAGTCAAGTTTTAATGAAGTGTACTTCCTAGACAAAATTAAATGCATGTTATAAATACTGTATAATACTTATATAAATATGCATAGGGTCTACATTTATCATAAAGATAAATTCATAACCTACCAGCCATAAATTAGGTAAGGTATCCATTTGCACTTCCATTTGTATCCAAGTCACTCACAGATACAGGCAAATGGCAATCAAGGAACAGTACAGTATTTAAGTTGCATACAAAATAGATCAATATTTTATTAGCAAACCTGAAAAGAATGGCTGACAAATGGCAAGTTAATTTTTCAAGAACTTTCCCCAATTTTGTCGTTTATTTCCAATTCCCTGATCGTTACCTCACAGAGTGAGCCATATTATAGGCCTGGTTTTTGTAGTACCTAGGTTATTGTGTAACACTTAGTAATCTCTTTCTCAAGATACTGGCAGCAGAAGTAGTTAAGCCAGGTAAGTTTTTCAGAAGTTATTGAAGTACAGTACTGTACTGTAATTGGTTTTATCTATATGTTCCTTAATCCAATACAGTAAGTAGTTAGAAAAAATTATTGATACACAAAAACAGACCATGCATAATTTTTTGCAATAGACTATAGCACTTAACATGTGCCAAAGCTAACATAATTCAGTCAAACATTCATCCTAAGATCATTACTAAGCCACAATTCAGACTCTAATAAGCTTGGTTTAGCTCAAAATTCTAACTACCAAACAACAATTATTGTTGCAATACAAGATTTTATATGTTACAAGCTAAAATGGTACAGTATATACAGTAGCATTCAAGCAAATTTCAAAGTCATGCATCCCTAATACTATAACCCTACTTACTATTGCCATGAATGAGTCAGTGCATTGTTTTTATGATAATTACGAAGTTATTTTTTGGTTCATCAAATTTAGGTGGTTATATGTAAATTAATTTGTTCTGTTTTGTTTGCAGGCAGCCATACGATATGGTTGACTTCATTTTCAACTCTCAATTTGGAGATCCTTCACTTGATTCCCAGGCGGGACAGAAATGGCTGGGTAAGTTTCCTTCACCTAATGCCTCTGTTCACCTAGAAGTAAATACTGTAGGTACAGTACCCAGGAGTTAGTCAACTGGTGCGCAGTTGCATTCTGGGAAAGGTGTGCATGTACTGGTATACTATGTATGTATATATATATATATATATATATATATATATATATATATATAGATATATATATATATATATATCTTTATGATTCCTGTCCCTGACAAAAACGAATTAAAATTTTTACAAAATCATTATAAACTGTAGAATTTCACTGGGCTAGTCACCGAGGAAAAGGTATTCAGGCACCACAATGAAGTAACTATCTCTAAATCAAATAAAAATGCCACCAACACATGACTAACACACTGTGCTATCTTAATATTAATACATATTAGATCTCAGTGCTCAGCAGTTTGCAAGAAATGAGCTGCCAAACATTGAGATGCCTGGTGCCTGTTTCTGGCACCCCAGAGTACTAGTCTCCGGACAACCAAGGGACAAACGCCCTGCAGCTAGGTCTGTTATTGTTGGGGTATTACCTAATAGTATGGAAATAATTTTAATATGGTCGATAACAAATGTACTGTAGTTATATTGTTAAAATTTCCTTACAAATGGGTAACACATTGAGGTGCCCAGAGACTTAATTTCGTGACAAAACTCCAGGTAGGTGTTGCATTTTTAGCTTCCATTTTAGTTTCATTTTATAAAACAATGGCTCCTAAAATAATCATTTTTAGATTCACCATTAATGCACAAACTTCTTACGTGTTCAAAAATAATACTTTATCCAATCTGTGTTTTATATTGATACAGTCTATTGATACTGTATTAATACAGTATATTTATTTACTTGAAGATCCATTGAGTTTTACAATATTTTGGTGTATATGCTATATACATTTTAGTACTTTGGAAACCTACAATTTAAAAAAAAAAATTATACTCACAGCATCTCAGGCAAGTCTTAAAACTAATGTAAAGAAGTACACTATACTGTACTGTACTGAGAATTTGCAGTGATTTTGTATGGTTTGACCAAACCTGAGAGTTAGTCATCTGTCGTGGGTCGAATTCTGGTGGGGTTGTCGCTGCTGGCTAGGAGGTCAAGATAAGTGTAGTTTAAAAGACTTCCAGTCTCTGACAATGGTAAACAACAATACCTTCATTTGAAAATAGCAAAAACATACGTTGCTAGAACATACTGTAATTTACATTCGTAAACCATTTTCAGGTTCAGAAAGTCTGTTAAAATTATCGAGGTCCCCTTTGCCAATACTAAGTGTCATCCAAAAAGCATTGTAAAACAGCCCAATATATTTTAATATATACAGTATAGCTCTTCCTACTGAAGGTGTTTTACAGTGGTGTGGTCACATCGTGCACAAGATGTTCGGCAAGGCGCATTTTTCCATTGTCAAAACTGCATACTGTATACCGTTAGGTTAGGTTGGGTAGATTGAAAAGTACATTGGCAAAGCCTTGTGTACAATGTGACTTTTTATCCACTGTACTGTATATGGGGCAAATTAAAAAAAAACTCTTATTGGATATTGTACAAACACACACATTTAAGCAATACAGATGACAGTAAGCATATAGTGTGCATTAGAAAATGATGTGTATGTGTGTGTGTATACAGCTGATCATGCACTTACCACCAAGCTCTCAAGCCAAAGAAAATCATGCTCAAGACCACACTAGTCTAGCTATCCAGAAGCACTGACGTCCAGGCTGGCTCCTTCCACCCCAAGAACCAGTCGCACCCCAACATCCAGACAGGGAAAGTGGTTTTAATTTTATGTGGCTTGGTGTATGGCATAGCCAGATGGGTTCTGGTCTCGCCATAACTCTTCTTCTTCTTGTTCTCCAGGCTTACCATAACCCTAGTCTTGTTAATTAAGTGATAGGCACTTCTAGTGACATCCATCCTTTTCCTGGTTATCATTTCACTTTCATGCATCACAAGCATGCAGAAGTTTCCTAGTGTTTCTATTCCCCCTGGAACACAACTACTGTATATTGGTGTTTCCTTGTGTTCCAACCCCCTGGAACACTACTATATTGGTGTTTCCTTGTGTCCCAACCCCATGGAACACTACTATATTGGTGTTCCAACCCCATGGAACACTACTATATTGGTGTTCCAACCCCATGGAACACTACTATATTGGTGTCCCAACCCCATGGAACACTACATTGGTGTTTCTTTGTGTTCCAACCCCATGGAACACTATATATTGGTGTTCCCTGTGTTCCAACTCCATGGAACACTACATTGGTGTTCCCTGTGTTCCAACCCCCATGAAACACTACCATACTGGTGTTTCTTTGATGTCCTATTCCACGGAGCACTACCGTATAAGTGCTTCCTGAGTTCCAGCTCCACGGACCACTATGGGGGGGGGGGGTCTCTGGTCTTATCGTACATAACCGTTTCTGATACTTTTCGGTTCAGTACACACAAAACCAGTTCATTCACAGATAATATTACACAGAGGAACCCCTTCTTATGCACATATGGGGTGGTTAAAGGGGCAGTGTGCAGGATATAAGCTCAAATAAATGTATCTATTCAGGTGGTGCGCTTGATTATATTTTGGTTATAATATAAATACCAGGTATGTAAGTTTTGTAATAAAATCCTCTGTATTTTGTTATAATAATAATGTTAATGTGTTTGGTTTTATTGTTATTATTATTGTGTGAAGTGTTAATAAAGGTGTGTGGAGGCTGGTGTGGCAGTGGTCGGTGGGCCGCCGCAGGGAGTAGAGGTGCGCGCTGGTGTGGACGCCGCGGCGCCAAGTTGCCCGCTAAGTTTAGACAACGTTTTTGGGTGTAAACACTCGTTAAGTCTCGCCTGTGTGAGTATAAACTGTGAATGATGTCTTCTTGTTACATGCATTATTAGAAGACCGTGTGTAGCGCTTCACGGGGTATATATATATACATATACTTAGAGGTGTGTATATAAGGGGGTAGAAATAGCCTAAGCTACTCTATCCCTATGAGATGTATTTCTTTCTTGTCTCAATAAACATACTT